TCTGTGTAAAAAACGGGATGGTTTTTATTTCCCAATTTATTTAAAAACTAGTTAATTTAATCAATTTTTTATATTTTTGTTTAACCTTCAACACATTAAAAAAAAATATCATTACGCATTACTTCCATTAAAATGACTCTTAAATATTTACGCGTATTTCACGTGTATCACATTTCTTACAAATTATCTCATCAACATTAATTTCTGGCTTTTCACCGCAAATTCATTTGGAGCTCAATCAATTATTAACGACGAAAACACGCTAAATATATGTGACACACACCTTTGGAGGTGAGGTGTATAGCCCACAAAAATTCGCAGGCAAAATTTTCATGGAGCTGCTGGGGGATTTTGGATTTGCATAAATAATAATGAAATTTCAACTGGTGGATAAACAAAAGTAAAAGCAGCTTTAAGCATCAGCCACCATTAAAAGGCAATTTGAAATGTGTAAAGCCAGGGACCTAAGTACCCGGGGATCATGGCAAATTAACTAATTGAAGGCTCAAATGGACTTTGCATACATTTGTGGGCCGATAAAGGTGTCTCGCCAGCCGATAGATTAAAGATGGCCCAGGCAATGGCCAGTCCCCAAGGTCAGGGTGGGATTCGATGACTTTCCTGGTAGGTGGCATGCATAATACATTACCAGATCGAAATCAAAACATGTTTACCTTCGCACGCCGCTCGCCAAAGTTAGTCCTGGCTCGAGGATGGCCACTTCAGACAGGACAGCGACAGGTAGTCAAAAGGCCCCTTCTTCCCCACGGGAGTTTACTTGGCAGTTCCTTGGATTGGTATTTAGCCGGCTTGGTCTTGAATTTGTAATAAGTCTTATGAATATTTTCTACAAAAAGTGAGCACTTTAAGCTGACTTCTTAAATATAATGATTTTATATATTTAGTTAAAATAATTTTTTAATAATTCATTTTAATATATTAAAAAAGTCATAATTAAATATTTTAAAAATACACTTTCTATAAAAATCTAGATAAATGTTTTTTTTATACCGGAATATAATATGTTTTAGATATTTAATTTAAGTTAAGTCAGTTAAAGTTTGTTTATATTTTTTAACAATAATAATAGCTTATAAGGAATAACCCTTCTCTGAATAAAATTATGTAACCGAATTTTATTTTAAGAAATTTGTCGTAATATATTTAAAATTAAAAAGATTATGGTACCCCCTTTTTCATTCCATAAATCATTTTCAAGGTTCAACTTTCTTCGGCATTGGTGTGCACCATGAAAGTAAAACAAGCAAATGATAATTTAATGAACGGCTATTAAATGTCAGTCAATGCCATTTGCTGGGGGTCATAGTCAATATAGCTACTAACGTTTTTTGCATTTTTAATGGCCTCCCTTGAGTTTTTCCTGTGCGGGAAAATCAATTTTAACAAAAGCAAGGTCAACGATTTTTTTAATTTATCACATACTCGGCTTAGACGTATGGCCAAGAAGTCGACAGTTGGCTAGGACGTAAAGCCTAATTACGAAATGTTCCTTAATTAGTGCGCTCGACTTAATTACAGAACTGCAAAGTCAACAAAAGCAGCGGCAGAATTCGCACAAAAATAATAAACCCCGGCTGCCTCGGGATCTGTGCCCTTTGGTAGACAATTAACTGGCGTTGGAAAGTATGTGTGTTTTTGTGTGTGGCGACAGCTTGTTGACATCGTCCTTTAAAGCGCCTGGAAATATGCTTCGTCCCTTGATATTCGACACATTCGCCTGCAAGTTTGAGCAGAACAGTCTAACAAGTTTGGAATTAGGGTTAAATTGCTTGAATTAATATTACATATTCCGGGTACACGCCATAAACCATAATGAACACTGGCTACAAAAATTATTTACTCCTTGTTGGGCAAGCTCCTTTTATTTTACTCAGTTCGAGAGTAGATTTATTAAAGGTTTATTTAAAGGAAAATATTATTACTTTTTTGTTTTAAACACTTTAAATGGCATAAATATAGAAACTAAATAAAATACACAATTTAAACATTAAAGCCACACACCTGTAGAGCAATCATCCCTTTTACACAGATCTTTCTTACGTAAAAGAAAACCGTATAATACGGACACAAACTTTGATTGCCAATAGCAAAAATCAATGCCGAAATGTAAATGAGGAGAGCACCGTTTGAATAAATATATTCACAAATCATGCAATTTCTTGCCAACTTCGGACTGAATCTCCAGCAGAAAACCTCCACAAAAAAAAACAAATTCAATATAAACGCAAATTATTTTTGCTGTCCGGTGGGGGCAAGCGCATAAAAAAGAAACAAAATAAAAAGCGTAGAGCTTTGAAAAAATGTATGCCAATTGTGGGTGTTTGTGCTCGGTTTTTATGTCCTGCCGGCCACGCATAAATCTGATGGCTAACGCCACCGTTTTTTGACGTGTTCAACACTCCCCGTTAAAGTTGCGTGTACTCACTTAAAGCCACAAAAGTATTAAAGTAATAAAAAGAGCGATTTACGTAATTTACGATTTATGGCAGAAGAAATGATGTAATAGAAAAATGGCTTGACTTTTATGATTTTAAGAACTCGGTGGGCTATTTTTATCCACAATTAAACTTATAAATCTTTTTATTTTTATTCTAAAATTGTTTTCCTTTTTTAATTATATATTTTTTTCAGACCTCTGACTTTAAGCATAATTTGGAACTTTTAAAAAACAACATTATCTTTAAGAAAATGTAATAATGAAAACAATAAGCTGCCACCTGTTGCTTTATACCTATTTTCCTCCGACATCCTCAGCGAATGTTAAATAAAATTCATCATACGCCACGTATGCGCCTCTGGCAAAAAATGGGGAGAAACTTTCTCACGTCGCTCCGTGTGCTGACCCGCATACTAAAATACAGACCAGCAGAAACCGAAAAGTTGCTCAAATCTTTGTTGGATTTAATTATGTTTAAATAGGCTTAGCAAAACTTGCCATAGTGGCAGAGGAAATCCAATAAAGGTGGTCCCATACACATACAAAAGGTCTAAAATGAAACTAATTAAATTTTGCACAAAGAAAATTTCATTTGGCCACATGACCAGTTTTAATTTGATTGTTAGCTATGGCATATTTTAAGGACAAAATGCTTTGTTTTCCGGCTTATTGTTATTTGATTTCAAATCCTCTGGGATATTTATCATATTAGGAAAATTGTCCAAGCCCATAAATAAAAAAAAATTGGATAAATATTTTTGTAAATGCAACAAATGTGTGAAATGATTTAAAATGGTTAAATATCTGTCCTAACTGTCTGTTGGATAAATGCAAACAACCAAAGCCCATTAGCAAGCATGCATGTATAACCATTTGTGGAGATTAAATATGCATTTTTGCAGAAATGCTTATGTGGCTTGACATCAGCTGCATTTCATGGCTTTTCCAACCATTTTTAATGCAACAGATGCCAATAAGCCTAGTGATAGCGATGGGGTAATAGATATCATGGAAAAAGTAAATTACCTGTTGAAGTAATTTAAAATAATTTATTAAAGAATAGTAAAATAAAATATATTTTTCAAAATCTTTGCAATAATAGTGATATTGATAGCCATTTTCCACAAAGTTTATAAATATATTAAATTCGACCAGTGCTTACTGTCATAAAAACAAGATGGTGGACAAAATGGCCGCCATTCGCATTTCCGGCCTCGCGTGTGCGTTAGTGTGAGTATTAGTGCACTTAGCCTGTTGCGTTTTCTGGTTTCCTTTTTGATTCCATTTCATTTCTACTTTATTATCCCCACTCTAGCAGCTTTTGTTTTCACCATTCGTTCGGCTTTTGTCCTGCAAATTTCATTGGACCATATCCCCGTATGCAATGGCCCATAAAGAAGGTGGCGGACAATTGCCAGCATCGGGTTAAAAGGCCACATAGGCACACAACGCGCTGTCGGGCTGAACAATACGGTCGAAGGTTAAAATTCGACGTCCCGTCCATCAATCGAATCATCCTCGATGGACAGAGATAGACATGAGTGTTGGATGCGAAAATATTGGCATTTCATAAAGCTGAAATTGGCAGGATTCGAATTGAATTCGCGTATTGGGAAGACGAATCGAATATGAATGGAACAATTTAAGTGCTCACATCAGTTGTTCGGTTGTCCATCAATAATGTCCTAAATCATTCTGATAAAATACATAAAATTTTTACCCATTCTGAAACGATTTTGATAAATCAGATCATTATTAAAAAAATGAATATTTTAATCTCAAAATTAATTTAATAATATCTGTTCATTTTCACTAAGCGCTTCTATAACTTAAATTTCTTTTCCGTATACAAGATTCTGTTGAGGAAAACTGGATTTTTTAAAGTTCCAGTACTACCTTTGCCTGTAATTACTTTTACCTAATGAAAACAATCAACCAAATAAATAAGAATTGTTTTTTTTTCTTTTTTGTTATACCAAATGCTCCCCAAACAACATGAATGCCCCAAGCCATACCCCACATATTGTTTTTCTTAAATTACGCAATTTTCCTTCTGGCAACTGGAGCCATTTCTTATTCATGCCGGTTTTCGCGATTCTGAAGACAAATGAGCATTGAAATATAAAATGTGGTTATTATTTTCTGCATTTGCCGCAAATGTTGCCATGAATGTTGCCGCAATAAGTTGTCGCAACAAGTGCAACAGGCAAATGGAATATAAAGAGAGAAAATCGAGTGTAAACAGAGAACGTATCTCTCTCTTTGCTCTTCTCTCGTACACCTTGAGAAAATACTTAGTAATGGCTCACATGGCGTATGAGTAATTCTTGTTATGCCTTTGCCTTCTGGCCACAATTTATGACGTTTACCCCTGGGCAATGTGAACTGATAAGCACTCTAAGGTGTGAAATGCGTAAATAATCTTTGACTAAGGAAAAATCACAGCTAAGGACCGTCACTACGATTTATTCGACATTATTATTAGCAAATAAATTAGCCATCTATCTTAGGCTATAAAGAAAATAACAAGTGGAAGTAAAAGTTTCATTTTTAAAATATGTATACTTTATTCTTTATTGCTCTTCGGTTGCATTCAATCAGCATTCGCATATATCGTACACAAAAAATACACAGAGATAGTATATAGTTAGAATAATGTAGACTTCAGTGTTTGCATGCTCCGCAAACATCAAATGCATTATTAAGTATCAGCTTTAGTTACATTCAACAGTTCGAATTGCATGATTCTAGATGGATGCTTACGGGGAGTAAATCATCTTTGGGTATTGTTTCCGTTTAGTTGGGGGACTTGATCTTACATTTAGGACAAATCATTCCGTTCATTAATTTTAAATACATAGCGAAATGCAAACAACTTTCTTAAAGTTTATTACTCAATGTTAATCTGCTTGAAAATGTATGTTAAACATAGGCAATGGCATTTGGAACCAAACGACTGACTGACTGGCCTAGTGACTTGACTTGGTTTTGACTTGACTGATCGACTTGCCGTCTTGCTGAGGACTTGGGCGAAAAATGCTCTTCATCTGCACACATTCTATTAGGTATTCAATGGGTATCAAAAATACTTATCATGGTTTCTCATTACACTTTAGATACAAAAATATTTAAAATTTAATACCGTTAACAAAAATACTTGACGATCAATTACATTTTGGAAAATCTCGCTTACACTTTTGGAACAAAAACTAACTCATTTACAAGACATGTTGGGGGAAACAAAAAGCGTATGTCGTATGTGTGTGTGTGTGTGTTGGGTGTTGTGTGTGCTATTTGATGTCCTTCCTAGGCCCAGTCCTTTTTAATCTCAAAGGTCCAGTCCCACTCCAGGTGTATATGCTTGTCGTCATCCGTGAAGACCGAACTGACCGAGTAGGTGCCGCGGGAGAATGTGCCAGAGGGAGCCTCCTCGGCGGGCGTCAAATAAAATTGAATTTCCTTCTTCGGCGGATAGGAGCCAACCATATGCTTCATTTTGTCAACTACAGGATGATACGAACAAATTGGGTTTAGTAAATTATTACATTTTGGGGCATCCAGCACCAGCTTACCCACAACTTAAAAAATCAAACAATCCGAAAATAGGGTTTGGCATTGAAGATAATAGGATATTGATACAAGTTAATCTCAGCACATGACTAGAGTTATTATTGCAAATATGAAAAACGAAATATAAACACCACCGCAAAAACCCAACAATAGGTTCTCGCCATTAAACCAGCTTTTTCCCATTTCGAAGCAAAAAATACGACTAGTCCAATGAGAAGTCAATCAAGAACTGAGGTGTACTAGAGAAAACTATGCTACGGCCCCTAGCAAATTGAAGTCCCAAAAGTGCTTAAATCGTGTAAGGTATAATCGAATATCGATAGCAAATAATAGTGTTCGGGGTTACATTTGAATTGATTCTTTCTTAATATTAGGACTTTAATGTAATAACCAATTTCGTCAAGAGTTATAGAACTTCCAATAGATTAAATCAAATTAATCTTTATAGATAATATTTTAAATGATGGAATAAAACTCAAAATATATTTTAGAACTATCATTCGTTTAAACCAAAACTAATACTGCCACAAAAGCTACGTAAATTAATGGGTAATAATAATACTTACCAGTAACACCCAAGCGAGAAGTCTTTTGCACATACTTAAGGCCATGGACGATTTCACGTTGCACAATAAAATCAATGCGCACCTTGTACTGAACACCTTCTTTGATCACAAAAAGCTGTAATACAATTTTAGATTAATGAAAATAATAAAATGGCTTCATAGCTTTAATTATTCACCTGCTTTTTGAGCTGAGTAAGGTCACCGGTAAGATCCAATTCCATATCATCGCGACCCTCGACGACGAGAGCCAGTTTCTTTACGATCACTTTTCGGGGATCATTGGGTTCTGGAAGTTGAAGTTAGGTCTTTATATATTCCTCGCATTTTGTTTCCTGAATTATTCCCTTACCAACAATAATTTTCTCGGTCTGGGCAGCACCCAGAAGTGCCTCCTTGTAGCGCCGCAAGCTCTCGTCCTCCTGATCGGCGGCCATTATCTCCTCGATGGTCTTTTCCGGCGGCGCCTGGTAGTTGGCATCGTGGACATCCTCATCGTGGTGCTCGGGATGGGGCTTCGTCTCTGTTTCGGCCATGGCTATGTAGAACCTAGAACTGTCCAAGCGGAATTGTTTATTTATCAATCAATTACATTTAAATGAGTAGCACCGGTCTTAATTTCGGTTGGTGCTATTGTTAAATGGCTGCTTCAGCTTTTGTTTAGTATTTCTCAGTTGCTCTGGGGGAAGCATGTGGGTCATAGGCATATTTTTAGTAGTGTGAGTAACATGTTGACGATAATGATATTCTCTTATATATATGCCTCTATTAAAAAGTATGTGAGAAGCTCTGCATCTGCTGTACATCCTATCGGAATAAAAGATAATATTCCTGGACCAAACGGTTGGGTTTGTGACCCCTATAAGATTTAAGCTAATCAGCTAAAACTATTGTAAATATAACAAAATTATATTATCTTTTGAAAGTAAGTAGCTAATAAATTACAAGATTTAATTGCCTTCAAGAGTTTAAGATTTATGTTAGTAAAAATTAATTATTAAAGGCAGTAATAAAAAAGCGATTAAATATCAAAAGCAAACATTTTAATGTTCCAAAACCGAAATCGAAAATGTATTATTACGTTATCGTTCAGTTAACAAAGAGCGGGCTTTTTCAATTTTTGGCAACACCAAATGCTAGCCACTTCATATGCCCGTTCAATAATATTGATTAAATTTCAATTATTAACGCATTGATGAACTGACGTGTTGATTGGCAGTGGGGTGGGCCAAGGGGGGCGGTCGACTTGCAGCTGGTCCGCTCGGAAAATGAAAAAAAAAGGTTCAACCAAATACGGAGTGTCAGATAAGGCGAGAGCATTCGGCAGACAGAGAGAGCGGATATCGGCATTGAATAATATTGACCAGAACGGGCGACAAAAACGGAGAACCCTCCGCCCCCGCCCATGCCTTTATTATTATCTTGCTTTGTTTTCCATTATCTAAATACACGTCGCTGGCTTTATGTCCATTTTCAACGAATGTTGGCCCAATAATAATTCTCCGTTCTCCAGATTTGGCTAAATATATACAGGCTAGAGCAAAAAAAGTACATCAAATTGAAATGTTATTACTTGACATCAAGTTGTTGTGAGATAATAAAAATGTATCTATACAAGCGATTTTAGCAGGCACATGTGTACACGGAAAATTAATAACAAAGATGATTTTAGAATTAGTTTTATACATTTTTTTTTAACTATTTTAGACATAATAAATATTATTTTCTAATGCGTAAAAATCGTACAAAATGCTTAATATTCAATAAAACCAATTACGATCCCGTAATTATTTTAAACCTAGAACAATAATTCTGAATTTTCAAAAACATTTTTTTTTTTTGAAAAAGTAAGTACTTTAAGATGTACATCATATTTTTTTTTCTGTGCATGTGTGGGAATAGCAAAAAAATAATAAACATTTTTCAGACTAACAACGAAAGTTTGGGCCAATAAATACAATCGGAATAATTAAGGTTGGGTGAGAAAAGGTAATTTCAAGAACAAATCTGACCAAACAGAATTTTCGAATTCCAAACAAAAAGGCGAGTGTCGAAGGCAGAGTGAGCGGGACAGGAAGTGAGCGAGGGAGAGAGAGATAGACGACCCCCCGCCAAAGTGTGGGGATAATTCAGGGAAAAGTACGAACCATGCCAGTTTTTTCTTTTTTTTTTTTGATAAAGAAATGTGCACGAAGAATGTTAAGACCCAGACGTATGAATCACACACACCAGCTCGCACACACACACGCTCGCACCAAGACCGGCACATGAATCGTCACTGATTTTCAAGCATTATTTTTTGGGAGTGGTTCCTGGCCAGCAGATAACCACAAGTATTTGCCAAAAACGCCAACTGATATTGAGCTACTATATTTAAATTCGAGTTTAGTACTAACAACATGCATTGGAACGCAGCACACACACACACACACTCTCGCAAATCAGCGACGACGCGCACTCACCTTTCTAATATGCAAAATTATTCAAAAACTGCGCTCTCCGCAAAACTATTTTATTTTCCAGATAGTATGGCTAATTTTTTGTGTTTTTTACAATGTGTGTTCTACTAACTTTTAAACAAAGCAAAATATAACGAAAAACACTCGGCGAAATAAGAATGGTAAGTGTGCACGCATACAGTTGCGCGCAAAATACCGAAAAGGCAGCTGTTCACACTGGCTGCCTGAAATTATCTTTCTCTACATGTTTTTCCATAGTACAAATTAAATTGTTTAATTGTTGAATGCAAACCCTATTTGTAATTAAAAAAAAGAAATTAGATGAATACATCTTCAAAATTGAATGTTTTTATTTATCATGAATACCCTTATTATTTGGTTTGCGCAACTGTTTAAATCTGTGTTTAAAAGCTGGTCACACTCCAAGCTGAGGAATTTGTATTTTTTTTTACATATCTTTTTTACAATTTACGGCTTTAGCCGGTTCACGTTGAATTTAGAGACCCCATTGGTTCTATCATATACATAATTCTCATTGGAGTACGTATCTCTTACAAATAGCAAACCTGTGAACTTAAAAAATTTAGTTGTAACTTTCAAACTAAAAATTGCGCATTGATATTTTGATCGCCATGAAACCCGACAACTTAAACAATCTCTCGCAAAAACCTCGTTTATCAGTGGAAGACTCAACCACTGAAAACAATTCGGTAAGTGATAATATACATAGTCATCCTGGAATTTTAATAGTAGATTCTATATTTTTTCCAGCTCAGCAGCGATTCGGATATTGAAGATATCGACTGTCCGGCCAGCGATCAAAAAAGGATCGGACAAGGACTAAGAAAGACCATTAGGAAGAATAACACAAAGATAAATGATCTGGTTGCCAAGTTGACCATTGCTGAAATGAATTTGGCAAGTGAAAAGGAAAAGTCCAAATATAAAGACGATTTAATGAAGCTGACTAATGAAAACAAAGACTTGAGCGTAAAGCAATTGCAAAGTAAAATTTTGGAACTAGAAAATGAACTTGCTTTGAGCAAGAGTCAGGGTTTAATTAAAGAAAAAGATAAGGAAACTTCCGGCCTTGCAGACTGGGACGATCAATGTAAGAAGAGGATTGCAGAATTTAATGCTTTAATAGATAAATTCGAATGTATTGTTCGGGAGAAGGACGATAAACTTATTGAATTGGATAAGAAGTTACAGATACATGAAGCCATCCTGAAAGAGAAAGATGAGAACATTAACCGGCTAGGATCGCAAATTGAAACCGATGGAGGCAAGATAAATAAAATGGTTCAAAAACTCTCTGAGGTCACCCTCGATACTGAATGTTGTCTAGATCCCTGCGAACCTCACGTTTTTCTCAACTGTACTAAAATTCCTTCAATGAAATTGATATCGCTCCCTGATTTCCAGCCCTTCGCAGCTGTTTTTGAGGATATTCCTTCTGCCGGCCCTGGTTGGATGGTCATCCAACGTCGATTTGATGGAAGTGTTGTCATGGAAAGTATGGAAGGATTTTTCAAAGGTTGTGGAGATTTGGGTGGCGAATTTTGGATTGGGAGTGAGAAATTGCACAAACTAACATCAAGTCGTCGACATGAATTAAATATTGAACTCGTGGATTTTGACGATGTCAGTGCCTTTGCAAGATATGATCACTTTGTTGTTGGAAGCATTGAAGAAAATTACATGTTAAAGTCCCTTGGTAAATACTCAGGAAATGCTGGCGATGCTTTACGGAGTCACACAAATGAACCTTTTTATAATAATGATTTAAATAAATTATATTTTGGATGGTGGAACTCAAACGATTGGTATGAATAATCCTTTAAAAGGGACCCAACAAATTTACAATAATATTTAATTGTTCTTACTTTTTCAGTAATTTGAACGGAACATATTACAAAACTAAGGTTGAATTGGATTCTTGGGTCGGAATATGGTGGGGTCGTTGGAATATGGGGAAAAAAATGTCTCTTAAGTCGTGCAAAATGCTGATCAGGCCAAAAAACTAGGAAACTCCTGCAAAGCGAAGTGGCTTGAAGATCTTGGAGAAGACAATGAATTTTTTTAGCCAACTGAAATTACCAATCTCCAAAGTGCTGAGAATAATTATCTTTAAATGTAACCAACATCGGATATTTTCTCTTAAGTATGACTGATAACAAGTCATTTTAAATGTTCTGAATTCAATTACCTTTTGTTTTTATAATTTAAAAAAGCCATGTATTGATTAAAAATAGCATTTAAGAAAATCGTAATTTCAAATTAAATATAAAAAGCCTGGCAGCACTGGCGGCACTGCTACATCTGGCAACGCCCACGCAAACAGCTGTTTATTACTTCATCGGCGAGTTTTGTGTGTGGAAATTTGGTAAATTAAAATGACGTCCCAGTACCTGAGCCAATTGCACACGGCGGACAAACTGGCCGCCGAGCCGTGGCCCGAGGACGCCACCCTCTACCAGGTGAGTGGTAGCACCAGAAACTCCAGTCCCTTGAGTTACATTATATCATTTCTATGCCATCCCCATCCGAAAGCCCTACGAAGCGGAGCAAATCCTGCTGCCGGAGAACGCCAGTTGCCTGGCGGTCAAGGCCTACCTGAAGATGTGCAACCTGCCCTTCGGCATCCGATCCTGCGCCAACGCGGAGCACATGTCGCCGGGCGGGAGGATGACCAAGCTGCCCTTCATCCGTGCCGGGGCATTCATCTTCGCCGAGTTCGAGCCGATTGTGAACTTTGTGGAGCAGAAGGACATGGCCATTGGCAGCTGGCAGGACGAGGACGAGAAGGCCGACATGCGCACCTACGTGTCGCTGGTGGAGAACATCTTCACCATGGCGGAGCTGTACATTAGCTTCAAGAACGAGCGCGTCTACAAGGAGGTCACAGCTCCCAGGAATGGCGTCGTCTTTCCCTGGCCCCTCAATCACATGCAGAACTACGGGAAGCGGCGGAACGCGCTGCGTTTGCTCAAGGTCTACCAGTGGGACGACCTGGACATCGACAGCGTCATCGAGAAGGTGGCCAAGTGCTGCGAGACCCTCGAGTACAAGCTGAAGGAGTCGCCGGAGACGCCCTTCTTCTACGGCGATCAGCCCTGCGAACTGGACGCCATCGCCTTCGGCCACCTCTTCAGCATCCTCACCACCACGCTGCCCAACATGGCGCTGGCCCAGACGGTGCAGAAGTTCAAGCATTTGGTCGAGTTCTGTCGCTTCGTGGACGAGAAATACTTTCAGACCAGGTTCCTGCAAAATTAGTTATACGTAGTCTCTCGCACTAAAATGCTGGCATAATAATGCCTAACTATAGACGTAATTATTATTTTCCTTTTGTGTGCTGCACAAGCGCTTTAATCTGCAAAATGAATTATGTTGCTGTTAGGAATATTCGTTCTAAACGATGTAAATCAACCTGCTTTTGTAAACGGCCTCCCGCATTTATTGATTTCCACGATGCAAAAGCCACTGCAATTTAATTTTGATTTTTAAAGGGGCATAATTACCTTTTATTTTTGAAACCTTGGATTGCACCTGATCGAATTATGCTGCTTTATTAGTGAGTTCTACGTTCAGATTTCTGCAAAACTACTTATTATTAAGCTGCTATCAATGTACAATTGTAAATATAAATATTATTTTTTATATTTTGCACAAGCGCTTCGATTGGCAACCAAAATAATATCAATATCCATTAAAAACTAATAAAAATAATATTTTCACATTTTACTTTCAGCAAATAATTTGAAGTCTTAAATTTCACTGTCATTGGAAGTGTGTAAATATTATGTTAATTGTTTCAAAATAAATTGTTATTTGACCCTTGGTTAATTGTATAACATATTTGTATTTTTACCCTATAAAGTATATATATTCTTGACCAGCATCACTAGCCAAGTCGAGCCATTTGTGTCTTTCAAAATGAACGTTGAGATATAAAAGCTAAAAGACTGAAGACTCTACGCAGATTCAACTAAAAATTCCAAAAAGGTTACACACCATTGGAATACTTGATTTTTGAGCTTTAAAATAAAGCTGTTTAAAATAGTTTGTTATTTGTCGAATGTAAAAAAAAATGTGCAAAAAATAAGATAAGATTAAAAAAAACAATATGGATTAATGCAAGTTTTTGGAGACACAATTGGGGAAAAGTTTCTATATCCATATTCTGCCAAACTCTTGATTGACATCTCATTTGATTTGGCCAATGTGAACAGCGAAACAGACTGCACCCAGTTGGTTTTGCGGTTAAACAAACCCAGTCAATAAGTATAAGAATAAGTTAACCGCAGAGCAGAAACTTCTTCTTGGCCAACTGTTTGTGGGCCGGTAGAAGTCAAGACCAGATACCGAAACTGAAGCAGACCACAGCAGAAAGTTTTAATCGTTAGGCAGAAAATAACTTTCTGGTGATTTAAGCCAGACTCCGGACTGCAAACCATCCCTTTAACAAGAATAATTTGAAAATTTTTGAAAAATTTGTTTGCAAAAAAAAAACGTTACGATAAAATCATTAGGATTTAAAACCATGTCCTTCAGAAAGAAAAATATTTATTTTTAATTTTGAACAAATTTTTAGTTTTTAATATGTACGTTTCAATTTTATTTTTAAAGATTTAAAAAATAGTTTTAAATTATATTGGTTTACCAAAAAAGGATCAACTTCCTAAACATTTGAAATTCATTTCTAAGAAAATGTCTAAAAATTATCTTTTTTCGAGGGTAAACTCTGTGCTAATTTTGGCATGAAGTGGCAATTCGAAACGATGAAATTGTGGAAGATAAACTAATTACTTGTTAATGTAAGTAATAGCGCCGAACCGTTGGGAAAATTACAAACAGGCTGTGGGCCGTCGATTTCAGTTCAAAATAATCGTGATTAATGGTCGTGAGTGCCGGCAGGTGACAGCAGTTAGCCGGCTTCGTCCATCAGAAAATCTCGGGAAGGGACCCTTTATAAGGGTAACAAAAAATGACTTAAAAGTCTATTAAACATTTCTCAAGGACACACTGGACTTTCAGTTTCCACCTCCCTCACGCAATTTCAACGAAGCGTAGGAAAAATGTATGCTCAATTAATCTCGGCAAGCAGAATTCTGGGGAAAGGGGCAACAAATCGATATTATAGCCCACCGGTCAATGATAATGATTGCCACGCCCCACTGGGCAGTGGACCATATTTGACAAAAATCTCTGAAAAATTAGTAGGAATTAATGGAGGGTAATTACATCAAGTCCTCGAAATTCTCTGACCGCGATGGTGACTTTAAAAGTCAAATTGAATAATTATGTTCAGAAGCAAACGTAAATTGTATATGCCAAAATCGTAATTTCTATTTCTTAGATTTTCCAATAACAAACCATTAATCAAAAAACTTAAATTAATTTATATACTTAAATTCTGGGAATAAAAGCAGCTTTACAGAAAATAGTAAACTTTAGATAGGATGAAATTAATTCCCCCATCAATTCCGCTTTACGCTGGCTAATCCACCGATGACATTTAATAGGTGTGCTTTATTTAGGGTATTAATTTCCGCTACCACTGTACTTGACTGAATCCATGGATTATGAAATTGTCAGGGTGCGAATTTGTGCATTAAGCTCCTTGTCCATCGCTGATGCACTTTCGCCTCTAGAAAAAGGCACAAAGAAATCGCTGGAAAAGCGGAAAGACAACAAAAAAGAACTTCACTTAATTGGATTTTTTTTGGACTCGCTGCCAAGGACTTGCTGAGCGGATCAGCGGCAAGGAGCATCAGTTGTCCTAACCAGCGCTGCCCGAACGAAAATATTTGGCAGCGAAAAGTCCGCGGAGAGGCGAGATTCCCTACGAGTCCTTCGACAGGCGACGCAGGACAAAAGCCCTGCCCGAAGCTCATTTTTCGCTATTTCTCACATTGCCTTTGAATTTCTGCCGGGAATTTCTTAAGGACAGCGGTATCATTTTAAAGAAGGAGTAAAGCTACAAGGAAACACTTCATTCTTAAAACACAACCAAAGTCCAGAAGAAGTGCTACAGTCAAGGGCCTCGACTATCAGATACCCATTACTCTGTTAATCAATTTAAGAGTAAGGTAAGGCATAAATTAGCCTGTGAATAGAGGTGAACAACTATCTAGTAAAAATAAAACTACCTGAAACTATTATGGAAATTAAAATGCAAATTATGTAAGAGCTCCCGAAGATATCTTAAATTGAAAAAAGAAATTGCATAAAATAAAGCTATAGCTTCTTTATAGAGTATGCAGATATGCTTAGGTACGACATAATTTTTAATTTAATGCCCATAGGCCGGTACCAAAATCTCACCCTTTAAATAAATATCTGTACTTTAGATAGTTATTTTTTTTACAAACCACCAGCAGTTCGTAATTTTGACCTATTTTCCTGGTGCCCAGTTTTGGACGGGATCAAAATCCTCGAGAGTGGAATTCGAGAAGTGTTTCAGCGAAATAAAAAACAATAAGTTTTGCTCAACTTTTGGGGAACTCCGGCACAGAAAGGGTGAAATTGTTACGAGTGGATGGCAGGGCAAGCAAATAATAATAATAATAGCAATAACCGAAATAAAGCTCTGAATAAAAGTTCCCTAGGGTTTTGTTCCCCTTTTTTGCGGGCTGGCCTCTTGAAATTGTCGCCGAGATTATTGTTGTTATTTGTGCTCTTTCTGTTACATATAGTTGATAATTTGTTCAAAGTTTGTTCGAGTTGCCATTTTGCTGGCCAGGACGAAATGGGAAAAGGGGAAAGTCCTTCCTACTCCCTTTGTCCTGCAGATTTTGAACTCGGTTCCAGTCTGTTTCTGGGCCAGAGCGAAATGTTGATGGCTTTTTTATCGACTCACCTGCAGACGTCGTATTTCTTCATCTGGCTTTCATTTCGAGTCACTCGAGTCTTGCTTGTTTCATTTTCTTATCCCTAACAGTCCTTTTGCTCCTTAGCTATTCCTGCACTTGAGTCCTGAACATTGTTCAGAAGTTCTTAAACCGTTGATGAACTGAACACCTGAGCTGGTAGCATGATGAGCTAGTGTTGCTACTAACCATAAAAGAACTTGAGATTTTTGCCTCTTCATTTTGTGCTGAAACTTTGTTAAGCAATTGAAAATGGCCCACTCGTCATAAAAACTATATCTATTTTATGTTATAATATGAACAAGATAAATTAAGATTATCCAGGTCCAAGATCATAAGATCTTAAAATATATACACGCATATCAAGTAATAATATGATTTCGTAATATATATTACCCTCATAGAACAAGATAAATCAAGATTATCTAGATCTAGGATCCTAAGATCCCTATATAATATTCCTTAAGTTTTAATGCCTCATAAAATAGTACAATCATGTAATGCCCATGTTAGTAATGCAGATTTATGCTGGGTAAAACTAACAGGTAGAACTTTAGATGGCTTAAACCTAACAGCCGTGTGGAAGGCGTTCTAACAGCGTAAGAGAAACTAACAGAGAGCTTTTTCACACACCCACCCACCCACAAGGAATCGCGTCAAAGTGCGAAGATGCTTTATAGCCGAATGATATCCGTTCGCCAGCCAGGATTTATAAAAACCCCAAAACATGTATACAACTGCCGTGTTGCTTGTAAATTTATGACATCATTTGCAAATCGTCATGTTTTGTTATCGGGCGCTAAAAATAACGCCCTCAGATTTATATTTGCGCAGGGATTTGCCGAAACGCCTTCAATCTCCTCCTCAAATAAGCCAAGCCAAGACCTCTAATAAACAAACAAATGGGCTAAAAGGCGTCGAGCGCTGTGCAAACGGATGCCACTAACTCTGATTTGTAGTTGTTTAAGCTCTTAACTTTTAATCAAAGATACACTTCTCCATCTCTCATTCGCTTTCTTTCTCCTTGGCTGGTAGCCTTTTCAATTCGTAATGGGAAAATCGCAGTCAGTCGATTCGAAAGTTTCACTGTTTGTACACAATTCTATTTAACTGCTCGATGCATTCGAAACTTTAACTCCCAAACTAGTTGGCAAACAAATACAATGTTAGGGCTCTTGAGGGGGTATAAATTCTTTCTGTAGTGATTTGCGGAAACTACCTGTTTGACTGTAATTACAGGACAGCAATTACTGCCAAACTTTGCAACTTTTAAAGAAGACTTGAGAGCTTATTAACGAAAATAAGTAGCTTTGATATAGCTTAATTTACAAGAAATTGAAAATAACTTCTTTCAATCGGTTTCTGTTTCCCTGCAGGTCGAATTTAAAATAATAATAATGTGAAATTAATTAAAGTGGATTTAGGGATAGCAACTAAAAACTTTATAGTACAATTTATATAAACTACAGACTACATAAATAAACTTTAGGTTGAATAACCGTATTTACAATTTCAGACTGCACCGCATAGCATTCCCAGCCAATAGTAAATGGCCCTCTTAGGGTTCGTTCCGACAAATGATGGAAATGCGACGTGTCTTCGGTACCGGCGTGCCTTGGAACTCGGAACGCTCCTTGGCCAGTATCTCGTGCGTGAAATTGTAGCGAGCCGTGTGGCTCATTATGTACAGGGAGCGTCGTGGCAGCAGGAGATCAGCGTAGAAGTTGTTCTCGAGTGACGCCTCCGGCTGATGGCGATAAGCTGCATCGGCTTCTGACCCCTTGAGTTCCGGTTCCGTTGCAGAGCCCGTGGATTGCTGATGGTACCGCTGGGCATCCGTGCGCACTAGTCGCATCACACTGTCGCTTAGCAAGCTAATCCCAGATATTGTGTTGCCGCAGTACTAATAGGGGGATAAATGTATATCAGTTTAAAGTTTATCGTTGGGAAGGAGGTGGAAATCTTATGAGTCTACGTAGGATTTTATGTGAAATATATTTTTTAAAGCCAAATTTTAGAGTTCTCTTTTTAATTCGATATTTTTTTTAATGTAAGTTAGATAAGATTTAAATTTAATTATAAAGCATAATGAATGCAAGCCTGTGACAACATTTTAAAAGCAATCAACAAACAATTTCCCATAAAATCCAGCTATTAATGAGTAAGTTGGTTTTTTAAATACGTAGAAATTAGAGGATATTCAAATATTTAAGATTTAAATTTAGTAATTTCATTTAAATTTAATAATAATGAATGCAAACCTATGACAACATTTTTAAAGCAATCAAAAAACAAGTTCACATAAATTCCGACTACTTATGAGTAAGTTGGTTGTTGAAATACATAGAAATTTGATGGTATTCAAATATTTAAGATATAAGATTTAAGTTTAATAATTTAATTTAAATTTAATAATACTGAATGCAAGCCTATGACAACATTTTTAAAGCAATCAAAAAACAAGTTCACATAAATTCCGACTACTTATGAGTAAGTTGGTTGTTGAAATACATAGAAATTTGATGGTATTCAAATATTTAAGATATAAGATTTAAGTTTAATAATTTAATTTAAATTTAATAATACTGAATGCAAGCCTATGACAACATTTTTAAAGCAATCAAAAAACAAGTTCACAAAAAATCCGACTACTTATGAGTAAGTTGATTTTTTATACATAGAAATTAGATGGTAATATATATATATAAAAATATTTAAGATATAAGATTTAAATTTAATTATAAAGCATAATAAATGCAAGCCTGTGACAATATTTTTAAAGAAATCAAAACAACAAAAAACATAAAATCCGACTACTTATGATACTCAAAGTTGGTTTTTTAAATACATAGAAATTAGAGGGAATCAAAATATTTTTAGAATCCGCCCCAATGATCCTTGACTTACGCGGGTGCTATCCACATGGGGCTTAATAACGCCATCGGGCGCTAGATCCAGGATGTGAACGTAGGGCATCACGGCCCCATCGAAGGCTACTTGGCGCACGCGCTCCAGGATTTCCCGATTTTTGGGGAACCACTTCTTGCGCTCTGTCTCCCGGAAACCGTGGATGGCCTGCAAGTTGGTAAACCTTAAATTGGGTGGTATTAATAGCCATTATCTGAACCCGAACCCACATCGTCCCAGTGATCGAACTCGTAGCGCAGGCGACTCATATAGGGTTCGATTTCCTCGTGAAGCTGCTGTTCCTCCGGATCGCTGATGAAGTCCGTGATAATCCGCATGTGATTCCGGAACTCCTGCTGCTCTAATTCGGGCCATTTTCCAAGATATGCGATTAAATTGATCTTATTACTGCTGTTTTCAACCGCTAAAAGGAGTTCAAATAAAAACTATAACAACACTATAACAACAAGTAATAGTTTATGGAGTTTTCAACCTACCCTGACGATGACAACGTCTGAGAATCTGCCTTATAGGCGAACATCTATTTAGAATAATCATTTTCCAGGTAATTTTATTGTTTTGAAAGTTACGTGCAATTGCAAAAAAAAAAAGAACCGGCGAACAGCTGTTTGATAATGGCCTGGCGTTGCCACCCTTTCGCCTGTCACCAGCTGTCACTGATATCTGCTATTGACCGTTAATTTCAAAAATTACCTTAAGCAATTAATAATTCTGCCACTCGGCAAATGCAATTACTTTCAACTGTCATTTAAAATCATCTTGTATCTAGATATTTTCCCACTCCGTCGGCAGGAGAAATATTTCCTTTTTTGCAAGCACTGCGCCATAGGCACTTTCCAATTTTTATTTTCTTTCGCTTTTAACGGTGGCCCGCACTCACACGCACACACACACACCGTTATGGCAACTGTGTAATGAAACCATCAACCATTTTTTTGCTTTTGTTTTAAACTTTTCCATCGTGTATTCATGCAGCTTTGTTGTTGTTTCAAAGCCTGTTGCAGACAGCATGGAAGTGGATTGAAAGTTTATACACCCAAAAATGGAACCAGTGAGCGTGCAAAATGATATTCAATTTCGACAGTTTTTTTTTTCATTCAAAGATGCATCTGAAATAACTTCGGATTTAAAAAAATAAAACATAGACTGGAGTTTTTTCTCCATTTCCTAAATGCATTGATTGGCTATGCCGTTAAAAAGTTACTTAAATTAACAGATGTATTTATATTTAATCAATAAATTTTACCTAAAAATATGTAATGTTCGAACGCTTTACTAAAATTTTCAAATATTTACTAATATTTACTAAAATTTTGAAATATTTAAAACCAATTTGAATAAGAAACAGAAGCGAAATTGCTGGAACAAAACACTGTTATTTCGCCTTGTTCTCCGGGGAATCAATTACATTTTCTCCTTTCCCCTTATCACGAGAAATTCCCGAAGCAAAACTCAAATTCCCTTCGGAGGGCTGGTGAAATTTATTGGAAATATGGGCATACAACGAGCCACCAAAAATGTATAGAAATTTTAGGGAAAAAAGTCAAATAAAAACAAAGGCAATTTGTGGGAAAGCAAGAGGAAAAAAAAGAAGAGAGAAGGCCGCCAGCAAAGTGCATAAAAATGGAGGCGAGCAACAATTGAGCGGAAAGTTGGTTGGGGATTTTTAAACCATTTGCCGAACCGACCGCAAAGTGATTTAATCAATGCAAATGACGGGGCCCGATGTGCCGCATGCGCCGACATAAAGCGTTAATGGAATTTCTACCGAGGATTTTCTATCCCAGGCAACGCAGCATCCCAGCAACCCAACAACAACCCATCATTTGGACTGTTTTCCCGTGCGTTGGTGTGTAAATGATAAATGAGGGACACAGTCGGTGGCTCCGCGTGCAACTGTTCCGGCCGGAACCACCCGGAGCACCACCACCAGACCCAAAAACATCCAACACCACCGACACCACAACGGACCATTAGGTGCTATTGTCCCATTTTTTGCTCGTCCTTTTACTTTCGCCCCGAAAAGTGCCTCCTTAACCGTCGCATCGCCAGGACAACATCGGCTATTGTTCTGTCCCGGGCCCATCTATTGTTGCCACGCCCATCCTTTGAAGTCGCAGGATGAATATTGCCCGGCATCCAGGAGCCATCAGTTATATAGACTCCCATTTCAACTGAAGTACGTGGAGTGCTTCGTTCACGACTATTATTATTAGCTTTGCGATATTTAAGACGACCCTTGAAGTGGACCAAAACAAAAAAGAAAACAATAAAAATAATTAATTTAGAGGGCATTTTATGGGAGCTTTAAACTTTTAAATGATCTATGAAACAATGAATAAAATTTTATTGGGAGAACCTTTAAAAGCAGTTGCCTGAGCTTTCAAATCTTACATTTCCAAGGACGACAAGGAAACAAAATCTCCTTGTGCTGAAAGCGAACTTTAGATTTGGCCAGGCAGAGCTTATGATGAGATTTTAGCTGCATCTGTTTTGGCCTTTACCCATTGCCGGCCAAGATTTGTTGCGTATTCTGGTTGCTTTGGCAATGCGAAAGCCTTTTGAGGATTATGGGGCTCCTACGGCAGACCCTTTTGCGGTCAAAAGTTTTCTTGCCGGGCCAAAGAGCTTTAAAGTTGCCGGAGGATATTGCAAAACAGAAGGAAAACAGAAGTTGGCAGTTGAGGAGCCTCGACTGCTGTGCAGAACAGATCTAGGAAAAGAAAGGCTGAACTTTTTCGTACGTTTTTGCGAAAAAATTTTTATAATTTTATTTTCAAAAATATCTGAAAATCGAAGGGGATTAACAATTAAAACGCCATAATTTCCGTTTCCTTCGTTTATTTGCTGCGAAGCTTAATTGAAATCGACGCTGTTTCGCATAAATTTGGCACGTTTCTACCGCCATGGCATCGAGTGATCAATATCTGAATAATTAAATAGTAATTAATTTATTTACGCACATGGGTGAACAGAACTCAGCCACAGCCGATACTATCAATCATATTTACTGCCGTAACATAGCACTGAGCCCGAATTGACAGCTGTGCCTGCTCGGGTCGTAAATTGGGGTTTCCCCATTAATTACCGGCCATCAGAGGTCGCACATGGTGGTGCGAAATGGCTGAATAGACGGAACTATTAAATAATGGGATTGATGCTAGTAATTTGCAGGTATTTCTTAGTCAATAATCTCCAATTAATAAATATTAATAAAAACGACTTTTTAAATTCGATAAATAACTGATCTTCAATATTTTTATGGGAATCACAGTGCTGCCACTACGGAGTTGCCTTTTTTTGTGACTGTCAAATTTATCACCTTCGGCGAGTCTGGCCACTCTATTAGTGAAGAAGCGGCATTTCTGGCATCAAAACAAACAAAAAATAAATTAACTCAAAAAATAAGAAATACTCTTGATGGAGAACATCAACTTTAACGACTTCACTCCCAAAGAGCGCTATGAGATCATCAAAGATTTCCTGGTAAAGATGCGCAAGGCCGATTCCATGCCAAGCAAGAACGTACACGTTCAAAGATTCTTTGAACATTATTTGCGAAAATTCTACAAGCTACCGAATAAATTGGTCAATGATATTGCATACTGCCAACGGGCCATGAAAACGCATCTGGCGATCCATCAGGTATGTGGATATATATCATTCATAAGAAGCTATAACTTACATATATCATTTTGGCTCTTGCAGACAATCGTCAGTGTTTTCGGGTCTCAGGCGGATGCTGTAAGTACTTGGTTCTAATCATGTTCTCTATAAGTAATCGTCCCAGTAATGTGAAGAATTCTAAAAGAATACTAAGGATAGAAGCAATATTACATACTGAATGTATTAGATACTATTGATATTGAAGGTATAATGCATAGAGTATTATAGTTTTGGCCGGGTGATTGTAATTCTCAGAGAAGCACGAATTCAAATGCATTGATTCAAATCTTCAATAAATATCTCTAATTCATACATATAAGTCTACAGCCTCGGCCGACTTCCGCCTCATCCATTTTTAAATTAATATATCATTTAATCGCCAAATTCATTTATTTATATGCCATTTAGAAATATTTGCATAATTACTATACCTTTCTTGTACCACAGTTTTGAAAACTCACAAACTCAATTAAATTTATTTACTCTTTCAGGATCCCGTGATCAAAAACCAATACATCAACGAACTGGAGGATTTGCTGTACGAATTAAATGCAGAATGCCACTATTTGGTGCTTCGCCTCCAGGACGACATAGATCGTTTCTGCTTGGCCTTCACGGAGCAGAAACTGAAGCCCAATGAGCAGGTGATCAAGGACATTGTGAGTGAAGCCATAGTGCCACTCATCGTTAACCAAGAAATTGCCATTAAACCCTATTTCGTATTGGAACGACCCACTGAGAGTCAACTGCTCAGAAAGTACTTCATAATAGAAGGTGGTCAACCCGCCGTAGAAAATCCCACTACTGTGGAACCACCAAAACCACCTACCACATCCCACCCCAACCTGGATGTGAAGAAGAGCCGTCTCAATCTGCAGGCGGCTCTAAATCGCGCTCGTTCCAATTCCCAGCCAGCGGAGAAGAACCAAGAGGAAAATACCAAAGCGGACAAGAACCAAGAAGATAAAAAGCCTGAGCCCGCCAAGGACTTCTTTATGAAATCCGTGGGTCTCTGCTCGCATGCGGAGTACAAGCGTCTCAAGACATCAATGGTTGTACCCCAGAAGCGCAAGCCCAGGCCAACTGAGAAAGCCAAATAACTCCACCACTACTCAAAAAATGGAAACATCTGTTTTTGTTCTGTTTCCAAGAAGTTTTTATAAGAATGTTTATGTTTATGTAGGCTTAAGGGACGGAAACACGGAATAACGTGAATAAACCAGTAGAATGATAAAGGTATTGAGCAGGCGATATGAAAGTTTTAATGATAATAGAATAATTGTATCTCAGAAATAATAATCCGATTTAACTTTCTTTGGCCCGTAATATTTTGAAAGTGTACTAAGAGGCTTTAAATTTGAATTCATGTATATTTTATAACTAATCTGAATAACTACAAAAATGTGTCATTTTAAAGAATCTATCAAAATGAAATACTCAACTTACATTGAACCGAAGAAAGCTGTATTTTATTGAATCGTGTTTTAAATGTTTACATAAGAGAAAGACATTGTGCAATGAATATTTGAATGAAACATAACAAGTATTCTCAATACATTTGATTGGTTCAATGTGCAGATAGATGGCTTTGCCAGTTCTTAAATCCGGGTTCATTGTGAATGAAACTTCCACAGTTGCTTCAAACATTTGCGGATCCAGATTTAGGCCATTGAAAGTTGGCCGCGCATTTCATTGGGCTTTTGGAGCTGCGCTTCTCCTGGAGCAAATCCTCCTTGCTGTTAAGCTGAAAGGCATGAAGAATTTGCTCAGTCAGCTTTTCGTAATCATCATCCCCAACGCTGTCACTTCGACGCTTGGCTGGAGTCGACTTCCTGAGGAATGTGCTCCAGATCTTGAACTTTTCCATGTCGAACTCCTTGCCGTGCAGCTTGTACATTTTGATGGTCTTCTTGACAATGGAGGCCCGCATCTTCAGATCCGAAACCGTCTTGATCAGGGCAACCAAGGCGATGTGGCAGCGACTGTGCTCCAGATAGTATCCATCTGTTTGGCAGCTGCTGATGATGGCCACTACGACTTCTTCAAGGGGCTCGCCGAGGGCCTCGGCCAGCTTGGGAATCTCAAACTTGGAGAACACGGCTCCGGCCAGAGGAGTGAGCACCACCTCGCCGCGCTTCACCTGGTGGGGAACCAACTGGCAGTACTTCTCCACCGCCAGCAGACTGGCCTGCTTGAAGGACAACAGCAGGAGGCCCCGCATGACGAAGGGCTGATTCTGCGGAGGATCCTGGATCCAGTGCGTCTCGATCTTTATCTCGCTGCGGATCGCTGCCCCCTTTGTATTGACCACATCCAGCCGCATCGACCAGGACACGTCCTTCTTTTGCGACTTGGCAGCCGCCGCCTCCTTGCTGAAGCTGAAGATCACCTGCTGGGCGAAGCGCCGACTGACTGTGGCCTCCTCATAGCTTGGCTCCTCCTTGAAATCCGGACAAAGTTCGATGAACGTCTGCTTCAGCTTCTCGAAGTCAAAGACGTATTTCGCCTTGGGTTCAGCCATGTTACTGAAATAAAAGTTTATGTTAAGGGTAAGTCATCATGGTTTCAGTAAACAACCTACCTTCTCTTACAGAAAAATGTGAATATATAGAAATCAAATAATTATTGGTTTTCAAATTAAAGTAAGTTTAAATTTAATCTCTTTAATCTGTTGTAATTTAAAAATATTTTAATAATATATTATTAAAGGTTTCAGTATATTCTGTAGGGTATTCCAATTTCCGTTAATTTCAGCTGTGAAGATGATATATCCGCTTGCCTCAGTTAGCTTACTTGTTAGATATTGTTTTCCTTAAAAGCACGTTCGGAAATTGCAAATACAACAATGAAAAACATGATCAAGTTTCTTTTTTAAATTAATATCTCAAATCAATATTTTTTCAGTTTGTCTGAATATGCATGGTAGCTATAAGGAAAGCAAAAAGTACTTTTCTGAGAGTAAGCAATAAATATCTTGTTGTTTACACTCAAGTTTTTTTGTGTGAAACTAAGCAATATATTCTTGAAGTGGTCTTTGCAAAACTGGATATTTTAAAAAATTAATAAGAATTTGAATTGTTTTACAAAAGTACAATACAATTTTGACTTATGAGACTTTTAGTTGTTAAAGTTCATGTTTCAGAAGTTCTACTGTATATGTGTATACATATATTTCCTCCGTGTCGAAGGGCTTATCAACATTGTCAGTGTGTATATAATTTAACAAATAAAAGAAACACAAGCACTTCTTTTGTCGCGATATATTCATGTAAGTGACTAAGGAACTGTTTTTTTTATCACCTAAAACCTTTGTAAAATAAGCAATTCTTTTTTATTTAATAACTCCAGTTATTTTTTATAATTCCAGGCTAGCGTACTTTAATTTTACTTTGGAACAATATCACCCACTCAGAGCAAAATTATGATTTTTTATGCTCGCGATCCCCCGAAGTGTCGGAATCTTACTGACTTCTGGACAGAGAGTCGAACAAAGCGATAGGCGATCCCACAACCCGAGGAGCACATTCACAACACAACCGAAGTGCAATCACACATGAATACAGCCAATACAATACAGTCGTGAGTAAATTTGCAATTTATCTTCTTTGTGCAGGGCTGGAAAATTAAAAATAATATTCTATACCTATTTATTTTAAAAACTTTATCCGATTTCAAAAATACCATAATATATTATATTTATAATGTTCTATAAAATTATTTAAATGGGTCATTTTATTTCTCCGCACACATAATATAATAAATTACATTTTATTAGATTTAAACTAGTGGAAACTCCATAAATCAGGAAGACTAAGTCCACAATTCTTAGTGGTAATATCCAGATGAAATGAAATAAGCTGAAGATTGTGTCTCTGGTGTCTGAAAGTGGGCGGTGTGGGCGTGGCGCTATATCCACTGCTCATTTGCATATGTGTGGATTGCGGCGGATGGTCATCGTCTTTTTTTTTATTATTGACTTGACAGTCTCCGACTTGCGAGCAATTTGCATACGAAATGTATCTGCACATCCCCGCATCGCCATCGCCTTTCCTATTCCGGGCGTATTGATATATCGCAACCAAAAATGCACAGCATGGGTGGAGAAGACAACAACAGCAACAACAACAACTGAGGGCATAACACAATGGACTGTGACCAACTGACAAGTGACACTTTTTCAAATTGAATATCTGAACCGCACCGAACTCCACTCCCCTCCACTCCACTCGATGGCGAAGTGGAAACCCGAGAAAATACAGCTGAAGTAGCCCCTGCAGGGCCTGTCAGCCGGGATGTCATAAATTCACATGAGTACAGAGATCGAATATTCCAAATTGAGCTCTCGTGTTTTATTTTTTAAATTTCCAATACCGCCAGCGGAGGAAGCGCACAATGGACGGCTGCCACAACGACATCTTGGCCCCCCTCATCCTGGCCGTAATGGTGGCCAATGGGCATCCCCTCACGCTGGACGAGATCGTCGATGAAGTGACGGCGGTGATCAATTCCCAAGCCGAGCTGGCAGTTGTTCCGGAAAATATTGGAGACGGCAAGCATGGCCACAAGACATTTAACACTAGACGGAGGTAGTGGGGAGATGAGCAGAGCTCCCCATTCTCGATAATAGCAGATTTATTACGAAAAACCGTCTTTGGACTCGCGGGAATTTATTATAATAAATTATAGATTTTAAATCTAGATATTGTTTAAAAGGCTTAATTTTGTTGTTAAGGAATATGATTTTAAGCACAGACAAAAAATGACAGAGTAAAAATAAATATCAGCTTATTAAATTTAACGATTTCTATTACATTTTTAAATTAAATATTAATTAAAAAGATTTTAAATTAAACATACTTAATATCATGATTTTATTTGATAGGTCAAGGTGTAAAACATCAGATACAAAAAGAATTTCATAGTAAAATTAACTTTGTTGAATTAAATATTTAGAATTAACAAAAACAGCAATGCAAGAAAAACAATATGAAATCTTTGGATTTAAGTTACATTCGTTTATTTTATCATGTTAAAAATATTTTATTTATTTTAAATATTATTTTATAATAATATTTTCACTAATAGTTCGTTGATTGTACATAATATCATTTTTCAGATCACAATATAGAATATAATACTCCTGAACTGGAATTTTAGGTTATATGGGGAGCCCCTTCCTATTTTCAAATATTTACTACCTTTAAGCTTCTCACATTGCTCTAGGTAGTAAGGTGATTCTTGAGAGGGGATATGCTGTATATATTATCCCACCTTGATGGTACATATAAACACACTTGTGTGTTGGTGGAGGTAACCGAAGCAGAAACACGTGTGGAAAATGTACGAACGGAGCGAGTTAAAAGTTTTTCAGCGTCGCGAAAAATTGTTTATGTTTCGCCTTAAAAGGAGGAAGGTAAAAAATTTTGAATATGTGAAGACGGCGGCGGATGGCTGGGAAACTACGGAATTGCACACATGTGGCTACGGCGGTGCGCCAATGTGGATGAGGATGCGGTGTGGTTGAGTCGGCGAAGGAAGACGCCTTTCCTGGCGGCGTGGGTCCATGGAGCTGGGGCATTGACAGCACCTGTAACCAGCCGGGCTGGGAGTTTTTGGGCAAAGAATCCTACACGTACGCTCGTTCGCCTAATAATCACGTGCCGTGGAAGCTCATTAAATTCGAAGGTGAAAAGCGGCCTCGTCCTTTCTGTCGCCAAGTTATTCACACATGGCCACATAAATATAGCCGCAGGCAGGTTAAGTAAAAGCGGCAAAGCTCGATTATATTGTTACTTAACACAAATCTTGAAAAAACAGGAATTCGGTGGGGAGATCAAAATGTTTAAAACCTTAGTTTACTCTACACAGTTATTATAAAAGTAAATTATATTTTATGAATTTATATTTAAATATTTTATGTTATATACTTTTATAAAATTTTTTGCAAAAAAAAAATATTTAAATAAAAAATATATTTATTTTATTTTAATTAATAAAAAATAATGCAATTTAGTGGAATTGTAGGCTTTTTCGCTGTGCCCTCACAATTATCGATGCTCTCGATCAGTTTCCATAAGAATATCAAATTCGGTTGATTCGTTGAGTCCAGTCAGTTGCAATCACACTTTCCGCGAGAACAAACGTTTCAGAGGAGCAAATAAATAAAAATCGCGGAGCTGCGCAGTTTTGAATTGTTTACATAAAATCTAAACCGACTCTCTTTATAAACAAGAGAATCAAATTACAAATACAACAGATTTTTCTTGAGAATATCTGTATTTTAAATTTATTTTCAACAATCTTTTAAAATTGGTAATACATTTATTTACATATATATTTAATTTATAATGATTTAATTATTTCTAGATTACGATGGCTAGCGGAAACCAAGGGCGTGCCAAAGAATTCGACTTTCAGATGCTGTGTGAGACCTTTGCCGAGATCTGTCCAGACTTTCGAGATGCTTCCGGTTCGGATAAGATGGAGAGCCTGGACTTTGCCAACCGGGTGATATTCGAGTTGGGTCCCAAGATGCGACAGCTAAAGCAAAGTGGCCGTGATCAGATGTGGCGTCTGGTCTTCAATGGTGGTGGCAGTGTTTATATCTACACGTACACGTTCCAGAAACCGATCAACGGGCAGCCCCGCCTCGGTGGCGGAAAGCTTTATCTGACTTTAAAGCAGGCTGGCTTGCTGGCGGTTAAGAAGTTTTGTGCTTTGCTGCCCCAGTATCATGATCCGCGGGATAAAATTTTGCTGACTCCGCTAGCCAGAGCGGTATTCGATCCACCAAATATTCAGAAGATTGCCACTGGGCTAACGAATCTCCTTGGGCGCAGAGTGGACTGCAGTGATGTGGTTCGGTCTGTGATCAGCAGCTGCCAGAGCGATGGATTCCACCTGGAGCACAGCGAAAGCCACGTCGCCCTGGTGGCCGTGGGTGCCACTACCCGTGATTTTGCGGAACGCAAAAAGCTAAGGAGAAAAACCGTAAAGCAGTATGCCAACCACGGCAAGGTCTTTGACTTCGATCAGTACAAGATTTACTCTCGATTTTCCAAGATGAGTAATCAGATCGCTGGGGAGCCACCGCTTTCCGATCCAGAGCCACCCAATGAGAAACCCAACGTGCGTATACGCAATGTGAGTGGGGTATTACGATCCATTGCCAAGGCCACCGATGATCCACTGAGTGGCGGAACCATCGACATGAAGTTCAAGGCCCCACCGAATCAGGCAAAGCGAGCAGAAGTGGAGGCTATGCCCACTTCAATGGATGTCCGTCTGGAGGGCACAAGCATGGAGCAAATGAGATCTAAATTACTGGCACCAGGTCAGCACTCCGGATGGTCTGCTGGGGGATTGTAAAATTAATCTACTAAATTTTATATTGGGTTTTGAAATGGAATGGGATAGAAAAAATAATATTTCTGTAACGCAGTGCAGCGGAATGGACATTTCCGAACCAATAAAGTGTAGTGGGCATTCCGAAAAAATTATCATTGAAAGGTTATATTAGAAACCAACCTGTTGTTTGTTAACTATCAAATAAAGTAATGGTTAAATTATCACTTGTGTAAAGTAAACCATTCTATGGATTGGCACTTTCAACTATTTTGAGTGTATGTTTTTAACTACCCCCAAGAATAGGTAACAGTCAAGCCCATCAAGTGTTAAATTTTGTAATTTCCGCCGTGTTCTCGCTGCACTTAGATGGTGTCAATCGGGCATCAATTTCAAGTGTTCAACAATATATGGCACTCGACGGCATTGCCGCCCTGCAATCCTAAGGAGACCGTAAAAGTTTATGGTCACAGCCTCGTTTTTATCATCGCCTGGAAGCTCCTCAACATCCGTCGATGCCAAAATAAAGGCTGGTGCTGAAAAAGGGCGAAGGCGGAAGATAAGTTCGCAGTTCATAAAACGGCAGACGGGACTCTGAGACAACAAAGCAAATTGGTGGACAGCCAGGACATGGGACTCGAGCTCCGATGCAGGATGTCCTCGCCGCAAAGTCGCTGCTGCGGGCGCTCATTTTTATGGGCATCGGGTCACTAGTAAAAATAATCTTATGACCGCTTATCTGCCCTTCCGATTCCTTTGACTGCCATCTGCAGCTTCCTTTCAGCGCGAGTTTTCAAAATGCTTCTCCTAAAATCAATATATTATATGAAAAATATTTCAATATTTAAAAAATGTAATGGGTTTAACTAGTGTAGATATTATAGTCCTTAATTGTGTTAAACTTGTTCTTTGTAAAACGGGTTCAATTTGAAAAAAAAAACATTGAAAAACTCGATGATAAACATATGTATCTTGTTGTCTTCACAGTCACGAGAAAACTCAATAAAAATAAGACAAAATGCATCAAACGTCTTTATCGATATCGGTATCTATAGATTTTATTTGCATGCACCCAGCTTGTCAGTCTTTCTATACGTATGTTCAGGATGCAAAACTACCTCCTCCATTTTCTCATCAAATGTTTCACTTTGAATGTGCGCTGATAACGGTGGTGAAAGGCGGAATCCCATTTCGCCGACCAAGAACATAAAGTACTTTTGAAAAGACAAACCAAGTTTGCAATGTACATATGTACACAGGCGATTGGGTTTGATGTTGGGCCATTTTGAAGGTGAATGGGTCCCGTGGGCGTATTTTGGAGGACTCTCAGCGAAACCCACGGATATGCTGATATGGCCTTGGGCCTGCTAACGATACGATTTCTCAGATTTTAATTGATTCCTATTACCTTGTCTACCCGTTAATGAGCAAAGATACGAAGGACTTTTTCTACTGAGGCCAAAGGATATTTGGCTTTGCTATTTATTGCTAAAAGAGCCATTAAACGTGTGGCATAGTCATTTAGATAATTGAGGCATCAATACGGTTGGATAAACCTACGGTTTGATTAAAACACATAAATTTAAATGGGTGGAAAGGCGTTTTGGGATCCTCATCATATATTATTGGGTTTTCTTGAGGCTTCGGTGGATGATTATATGGATAAACACTGGATTTAAATCAGTAATTCTTGGCCTATTCAAATGTGGAGGTGTTCTCCTCCGGAAAAAAACGAAAATCTTTGCCTTCGCTTCTCAGTTGACCCACTCTCGCGTTTTCCCCATTTAACTTTATCTGTTTTCGGCATGCTGCCCGATTTCTTTTTTGTTTAAAGGAAGCAATATGCGAAGGGCAACACAAGAGTATACATACATATCCTATATACATATGTGTTCATTTATTGGCGTATCTGCATCTGTGTATCTCTACGATTTCAATGGCTTTTTTTTTGCTTTGTGTATCACTGATTTCAGCTTTTCATTTCAACTGTCTCGCCGTCTGCAATAAAAACACTGATACCAGTGAATGCCGAAGCAAGAATTTCATTGCCTAATTTCATTCCAGAAAATAAAAGAAAAACAAAGTATAAATAAGTTAAACTTTAATCTATGAGAAATAATTAGGATTGTTTAAATTCAGTAATTAAATAAATAAAAAAGATTTTTTAACGGAATAATATTTGGAAAATTTAAAATTTAGGTTTATACCAAAACTTTTGATTCTGTATTTATAAATGAGGGATCAATGAAAAAACTTCTAAACTAATAAACGACATTTGTGATTTATGACCGAAAAGCAAATAAAAACGTATTGTTATTCGCAAAATCGGGTTTTCTGAAGTGTAAGACAACGCCGTTTGCCATGCAAACCTCACTTACGGAAAATGCCGGTTCACGCTCGTAAATCGCCCAAAAACACGCTCCATGCATATCCAGACCAAGAGGTTCTTCCTCGATTCGGGGCCAAACACGAAAATCAATCGAAATGTAATTGAATTGCAGGCACTTGAGAGCGAAAACCGCCGAGGAAACGCGTGCATATTTTACGTGAGCGATTTGCTGAGGCGCTGTGCAAAATGTGTGCGCCGAACTAAAGGGAAAACGAAAGCCGCAATGTCGAGACGCCGTCGCAGAGTGTGGAAATCCTTTTACCCAAATTGCCCGCAAAATATGCAAAAGCGAAAAACAAATATCGCCCAGGGATCTAAAGGGGCTTGTTCTGGCGTTCTGCAAGTTCAAAATACATATATCGCGGACGTGGGAGCTGTGATGTCGGCTGAGTCCTACGATGCGTATGAGTAACGTCGGCGGCACGTACACAACGTATTCGTCATACGCCGACAGGACAGAGTCTCGGGCAATTGGCAAAAAATCGAATCGAAAATGTTGCTTTTTCCGGACTCCAAGGACCCCCAAAGGCGACATCGAGTTGCCAAAGAAGGAAGCGGAAATGTAAGCGGTGCACAGTGGTTCAGAAGAACTTTATTTTTTGGTCAAAAGAAATGTTTTGTCTTGTTAAAAAATAAATTTAATAATTTTACCTGTTTATTTAAAATTTTAAGTTATATTAAATTAAATTAAATTACATTTTTTGTTTTTTGTATATTTACCTTTTTTACATAAATTCAGTTTACTAGATGTTAACCAAATTTTGGTTTAAACTTCTTGGAGATACAAGATTTAGGAAGATTTTAGCAAGGAACCAATTCCAGATCTTTGAAATCAAAAACTCACCGTTTTGCCCCAATGTGCGCAATGGGCATCTATGAAACCGAATGGGGAGCGAAAACACTGGCGTGGTCATGCATGAACGGCAAACGAAGGCACAAGGACTACGGCCGTACACGATTCCGCCGGATGCGCCGCGAGTGCACGAACGCGTCCAGAAGAAGATGAGCAAATTAAACGACTTCACGCGGATGGGTTTTTGAATTTGCGCCTGCCTGTGTCTTCGGCTGTGTGGGAAATCAGCGATGTTCGCCTAATTGAAAATTCAAAGCTTCTGGCAGAAAAAAAATCGGATTTCATTTGGGGCTATATTCCGAAAATGTGCATTAAAGTTTCCGATATTTTGAAATACCTTTAATTAATTGAAATACCTTTAATTATTTTTTACATACAATTTTAAGCCGCTGAATAAATTTCATTTTATTTATTTTGAATATTTTGTTTTATCACACTTTAGAAAAAGAAAAGAAAATACAGTATAAAATCTGGTGTTCAACCCTTTAAAGATAAACGCAAGGAAGGGTAAACTGTCAGTGAATTAGCTCCAAACAACTCTGGGTTTTTATTAAATATATATATGTATTTGTACCAGTGCTTGCGTATGGCACATAAAAATACAAAGTTTACCCTCATGCAGCATTTCTCGGTGGGATTTGATGGGAGGGTTTTGGGTAGCTCCCAACTTCGCGACGGGTTTCTCGAAGTTTGCGTTTGTTTACGTACGTCAGAGCTGGTAATTCATTTTTAATATTTTCCTTATGAATATTTGCATGAGCTTGTCTCTCACCTACGTATGTGCATATGTCTCTATCCTTTCACTGCTTCGTGGGTGTTATATTGCGCCCAACTCGATTTCGCCATTATGTTGTCCATAAACGTGCACACCTGAGTGCCGGAGTCCTCCAGCCCAACTTCCTTCCACCTACATTTTAACTTCGCCGTAGATTGTCATATTTCACGATGTAACGACCAAGCAGATGGACAAGTCGACAAGAAGACAGCTACACATACAAATATGTGTACAGGAAAAAATCTGTAAATTAATTATCAATTAAAAACATTTTTTTCGATTTTTTCTTAAGCAATGAGAGTATACATTTTTGGAATATGAGTATATATTTTTTTTAATACAATTATATTATTTACAAATACTTAACTACATTAATAGTGTAGTATTATCAGATTGTTCTTTTCTTTTAATTAGGGGTCACCCAGGAATTAAAATGAAACTTGTGTTATTTGTTTGCTTAACAAATATTAGACAATATTAATATTAGTTTAAGAGTTATTACCTTGCAATAAAAAAATGCCAAAGATATTTTTTTCTCTGTACTTACACCGTCGCTTAGATGTTGATGATGGGAGGCTCCTGTCGCATCTTTGTAACGTTTCCTTCGACGCGAAGCCGGAGTTTCCTTGGCGAATGCACTTTGCAGGCGGAAAAGCAACAAAAACTTGTTGATAGTGCAGTTTTTCCCAAACCAAACCTCCTTTTTCACCATGTCATCCCCTTCGGGCCCTCGAAATGAAAGTGTTTGAGTGCGTAGCTTTAAAGTCCTCATGTCGCAGGCAAATTACCACCACAACAAACAAGCTTAAATGGCAAAATTTCCAGAACTGAGAGTGGCGTGTGTCGCCCAGTTTGATTGCTGCTCTATTATGTCTACCTGCGATGTCAAAGCGACCAAAGGAATGGTTTGCAAACGATGTTGATGGGAAAGCCTTAAAATCAAAAAAGGCTATATCGAAAAAGACCTTTAAATTTTAAATTGAAAATGATAAATGTTGGCAGACATTAATGGTAAGAGAATCTTCCATTTTATGCACTAGCAGGCTAGAATATATTAATTAACAAAGACTAGTAGGCTAGAATATTTTAATAAACAAAGATGAACACATGAATTTTGTTATTTTGTAATTTATTAGGTATTTGTTTATTATTTTTATACATTTATTTTCGTATGTAGTATATTCAAATATTTTCTGCATGAAGATAGTTCTTTTTTATTGAATCAGAAAAATAAATGTTTGCAGTAAATATGCTTAAAAATAAAATATATTTTATTTTACTGAAATATCTATCTTACATTTGTTTCTTAAAAAACAAGTAAAATAAAATTGAAAATATTTTAAACATAAAAGCGTGAGTTATATAAAATTGTTTATCCAACAATTGAAAGTTCAAAGTTCGAAGATTGCGTGGGCAAAGTGTTTACCGAATTTAATGTGAAAAAGCCTTGGGCCAGTTGCTCTCAACCCACGGAACTCCTTTCACCTGACAAATGCAGCTTCCGGCCGTAAATAACCCAGTTCACAGACATCGGAACACAGGCAAAAGTCAAATTTATGGCACCACAACATTAACTACACTCCGGGGACACAGCAGCGCTTAATTACGAGCGTGTTGGCCAACTCTTACAAGCCAAGTCATGACCTGGCCAAATGAGCGTGCCAAATTGGCCTGCAGCAAAAGTAAATCAATTTCAAGTTGTACGCACACGCACGGCCAAAAGCATTGGGCATTCGAAGTACAACTGCCCATAAACTATTTGCAGTCACAGTTACTACCCTTTAATACTTTAAATAATGTCTGTGAAATAAGATTAAACCAAAGAAAAAAAGGATATTGATAATCGAGCATTTATTAAAGGGTGTTATATCTCAAAAAATAGTTTAAAAGAATATAACGTTTTTATACAAAAATAAGGAAAAATATAAGTTTTTCAGATTCTGTGTGATATGATACTCATATTTTTACACAACATAGTTTATTACAAAAAGAACATTTCTACAATGTGAACAAAAAAGTCGTGTTTTTCGACCAACATAAGTAACTCTTCTAGTAATTGAGCAAAATACTAGTCTACAGTAAAAAATAAATCCTTTAAAAATATCGGAACAAGTAGATTATATTTGTGAAAAGTCAAACGATTTTTTTATCGAAAAAGTCTAGGCGAGTAAAATCTATAAATCCCACAAAAATATGCATAATAGCTACTTACATAGCTGCCATTTATACAAATGTATATCATTTGTAATCCTACACCCAAAGGCTGTGGGTAAATATCGGAGTCCATGGGCAAATATCAATACCAAGTGTGCCATGGCTGACCAAGATGAATTATTATAAATGGATTAAGGACGAGTTGTGTAATAATTAACTGATATTTGTCTTGCAAACACAGTCTATGGCCAAGTGTTCGATGGCAAATGGCAAATGGGATTCGTTTGTGTGCATAATGCGGTTTCCAACGTTCGGATACGAGAATTGGCAGCAAGGACACGCCAGATTTGCAGATTCATGTCCGGCAAATGGAAAATTTCGCAAATTTCCTAATTACTTACGGGTGGGTGGGCGTTGACCGGCCATCAATGGAGTCGGTCAATTGTTCAGGACTCTAGTCCGGGGCGGGACCACAAAATTTACTGTAGGATTCGCCCGGACACACAACGAATTGATGTCTTTGACACACCACGGAGTGTGCAGTCCGAGTCCTGACCACCGAGTGGTCCATTGGAGCAAACAGATTTCGTGATAATTTATATTTGAGCTGACCAAACAGACACCACTAGTTAAGCATTTCACAGTTGTCATTGGGTGCAGTTTCATTGAATGTATTATTGCAGATAAATTCGGCAAAACGACTTAAGTCCAGCTTAACTTGGATATTGGATATAAAATGAATCTTGACTTCGAATGAAAACTTCAATAATAGGTAAATGATAGTTCTGAAAATATGTTGCAACTGCCATCAACATTTGTACATGCATATATTTATTATAAGTATATCACTCACCATTGTTTGTAAATAATACTTATCCAATGTGCCGACAACTGAATAAACAAACCATTCATGAAATTGATGAGTTTGCAAAAATAAAATGATTAAGTCTCGATCCAGAAATACCCATTTGTTCAATACTTTAAAGTTTAAACAGAACTAACTATATTTCTAATAAATGTTAATTTCTTATATGTATATTTGTTCTCAATTACAAAAAAATAAAAAAACTGCATTTAAAATTGCGCCATTACTTTTCATTCTAATGATACTAATATTAGTTAGCTGCAATAAAAAACGCAAATGTATAAACATATTTTCTGTTTTAAAAATATAAAAAAATAATCGAAAACTATCGTTCAAGCAGAACGCGATAGTCGTTAAACTATCGATGCCTCAAGAACCGATTACTGGATCATTTTTTATTCCATCTCCAGTTTGAACGCTTCGCGACAGTCAGTTTGAAATTTTCCAGTGAATCAGAGGGTCGTCTTTTTTAAAGTTTAATTCTCAAGTTTGCATAGATAAGGTAAGTTGGCATAAATGTGTTCAAGTACACACATTTGTAATTACATATATGAACATTCATTGTGTATGTGAGCTTTACATAGTTTTGATCAAACGAAAAAGGGAGTTCCCAGAAATAAGATTGCAAGCCCCTTGTGAAATAGGCATTTTTAGCGAAATACGATACTGAAAGTGTAGGAAAACATACAAGTAAAAGAATAAAAACATCTTCACTGAGAAATATGCGGATCTAAGCTTATCATTCAAAAAAGAAGAAAACATACTTATATGTATATATGTAGTACTTCCTTACATAAATTATTACACATATAACATCATTGAGAGCTTAGAAGTTTATTATCTCCTTTTTTCAGCAGTTCCAGAAAGACGCGCAAAAGAAAAAACTAAAATGGATGATTGGTGAGTATACACCACACAATGTTAAGATTGTTTCGAATTCCATCTGACTTTCCAGGCTAGAACCGGCTTTTGCTAATCTCTTGGAGAACAAGAAGTTCTCCGACTGTCAAATAATTGTCGGGAAGGAATCTTTCGATTCCCACAAGGTAATTTTGGCCAGTGCATCGGAGTTTTTTGAGCGCATGTTCCTGAGCGATTTCAAGGAATCCAAATCGGGCCAATTCCGCCTGAGCGAGGTGAAGCCGGAAACGTTCGCCAAGTTCCTCCATTATGTGTACACTTACAACAAGAAGAAGCTGGAGGAGAACACCAACTTGATGATAATGGAGCTACTCAGCTGCGGCTCCACCTGGCTTGTGCAGTCGATCACTTCCGACTGTGCGGCGATCCTTAAGGTCAGGGCACCCAATATGGTGATCAGCGATCTGGTCGAGCTCTTCCAGTACGCTCACAACACTAATAACAAGGAACTCATCGAGATTTCTGTAAAGGTGAGGTAATAAAGAATTTCGTATGCGATTTTCTTGCTTTTTTATTTGATTTTCTAGATGTAACCTATTATTATTACGTTTTTTACCTTAAATTTCCCATTCATTTATTTACCCAGTACTTGAGGAGCCGTTTTGGAACCACCATGAACTGCTACGACGCCCTGCTTCTGACCTCCGATGTCTTTGAGCAGTACACCATTATTAGCGAGGGATATTTGCCCGAGATCGAGCGCTTCAAGATGATAGAGTCTTACGTAACGGTGAATGGACTAATCGAACATGTTACAGAGGAGCCTTCGGAGGATGTTGTTGACGATAAGAAAGAAGGAACTGATAGTGGTGTCGGTGAAATGGTGATACCTAAATCAAGTTCGGAAGATAGCGAGGATGAAATCTCAGAACTCGATGGACAACCGGGTACTTCTAAGGCAATTTGCGATAGCAACCAGAAGAATCCAGATACTGTGCACAAAGGTGTTCATCGTCCAGATGAGCCAAAGGACAGCAAGATAAAGCTCATCCACCATAAATATGTAAAAACCCTACTGGGCTACATTAAATTTAGTAAGATGGCAAAAAACGAATTTTACAACATAATTGGCAAGTCCGCCTTGTTGAGCGACAAGGAAAAGTACGAAAATCTCTTCCTAACTTACTAACTTTGAAAAGTATTTTGAGAGGGCAGTATTAAATAATTTCTGCCAAAAGGTTTCATAAAAATGTATGGTATACATTTCAGAATCAGAACCGTTAATGTATAATTTTGATGCTAATAAGAATGTCCCACTTTATTTCCTATGTTGAAAATTTTTCCTAAATAAAGAGTATCACTATGTACTTTTTGATAAAAAAATATTGTGAAACTGTTTCCCTCTTTTCTTCTTAATTTTAGATTTTATAGTTTTGTTATACAGTTCCTTCGGTCCGTGATTCTCTGCCAGATATTTAATCTGCCACCCAAGCTTCGGTAATAATGCCTTTAAATAATAATAAAACTTTTTGTCCAGAAAAGATGGTGGTGGGGTAAGTGGAGTGCTCAGATTTATTATGCTATGAAGCGCAAATTTCGGCCACATGAAGCGAATTTCCACTTATCAGCAGCTACACAGAAACAACATGGGCGAAAAGCAACAACATTTTGCTCATTATAAATGTCATCAGGCATTATTTTGTCCATCAACTCTTCGCAGTTGTCGGAGCGCATTGTTTATGGCTTTTTGCCTCTTGGGTCTCCGGACTCCGGAGTTGCCAGCAGAATCCGCTGGCGCAGGCTTTACTGGCCATGCGGAGAGCCATTTATAATGAAAAGAAAAATTAAACGGGAAATTGAAACCGGACTGGCGTGTTAATGAGAATGCGATGCCATGCCACTCGTCTCGTTAACGACCAGTTCTTAATTTTCGCCCCGGGACCTTCGTTGTTCCTTAACGGCCGCCCAACTTCCAGTGGATTGTCGTGGCTGTTTACGTTGAGGTGTCCGTGAAATTGGGTAATTACTTTTAACGGCCAATGTAACCGTAAACGAAGTTATGATGATGTCCGCCAGTTCCGAATTCTCAACTTTACGCTGAATTGAGTCATCTGAATAGCTGTTATGCCTTCTCATTTGTATTGGTGCTCTACAAATTTTTAAATATTTATGTTTTTTAAAAAGGTTCAACTTTTCAAATGTGGTTTCTTAATTCGGATTTTAATTTTGTAAACTTTTACTTAAATTTTATTTAACTATTTGTCTCTGTTTCTTCCGCACTGTTGCGAACCATTTCCAATATGTAGTTCTCTGTGTTCTCCCTCTCAGCCTCCGGCACTCTCCGATAAAACCTGAGGTACGCCTCCAGAAAAGCTGGGAAGAGGGGTTCGTCGTAGAGGTCAGGTCCATCAGCGCTTCCAGGCGCAACATCCTCATTATTGAGTAGACTGCTGGAATAGTAAAAATATATTAATATTACATACATTAAATAAAGCCAAGTACTAGTTAGGACTGTTTCGACCACACATTTTTCTACAAATTGGATCACTTAATTATTATGCTGAAGGCTTGCAATCGTCACGATTTTTACAGTTTTTATAGTCGTTAATTTTTATAAAACCAAATCCGTAGTTATATAATCTTAAAAAATTACTGTACCTCGAGTTATCTGCGTTCATGTTGCGTGGGAAGAGGTAAAAATAATTAGGGGTGGTAATCAGTAGCTGATCGGGGCCGCAGAGATCATCAAAAGTCTCCACTGAAACGTCTTTCTTATCGATATTACAGGTAAACCAATAAAGAGGGATAACTGTTTTACAATCGCAAAAAATCGAGCTTTTGCTGACAGCTGATATCTCAAAAGGTTTAACATATGACTGGGATATTTGGGTATATCAATTTCTCGCGAAGTATTTAATTCGGTTTAAGAGTGTAATTTTCAAAGTTATTTGCTGTATTTTTTTAATTCTCTATTTTCGAAAATACTCAATGGGCGCCTTAAACAAGTGTGTTACTTTAAATTTTTTTTACAAATTCAGAGTCAATGGCAAGTTCTAAACAATATTCGCTGATTTCTGTGAGATTGTTCGGCAGGCAAAGCTTTGTACACAACAATTAGTGACTCTATTAAGTCGTCGCAAAATCAACAAAATTGAACAAAGCCCAGCGGAGTGCTCCACTCCGGAATCCCAAGTCGAGCAAAAGCAATCAAAACAGAGACTTGTAAACAAAGCAAAAAATTAAGAGAAAAAATGCTGATATTAAAACTTGATGGCGTCGCAGCCGGGCAAATAAAGGCGGGGGTGCTGATGTCTGGGCCCCGAAAATCGTTGGGATATGTTCTCGGATGGGAGGCGACCGCTTAGTTTCATTAAAATTTAAGCGAAACTCAATGGACTGCAAATGCACGAAATTGGATTGGCGTTGGCCCACAGCGAGGATGCTCCGCTCCAGCTGCTCCCGCCGCCAATTTCCGGAACTGCTGGTAGTTCCTTTCTGTTGGCCCGGGAGTATCTGGAAATAAATACCGGAGAGAGGACAATAAGACCGAATAGGCGAAGGGACTCCGTGTCCTCGCAAAGTAGTAAAGGAAGAACTTTGCGAACTTTCCCATTCTTGCACAATTTTGATTTACGACCACTTAACGTTTTTTATGGTCCCAGACTCGGCGATTGTATGGGAATTCGCGTGTGTATGTCAGATTTTTCTTATATCTAAGCTGTAGTCGGCATTCCGGCTCTTACTTACCATTTCAACATACATATACAACCTAAAGTCTCCAATGCCATTGATTGATTAAGCATAAAAATTAGTAATTCAGTCAGCAGAACTATAAGCCGAAAAGCCCTCCCTACAAATTATTTTTAAAATGTAATATTATCCTAATTAATTAACAAAATAGCCTAGTTTATCATAAGCCAATATTGTGTTAACTAATCAGTGCAAATAGTTCGATTTAAATTCAATGGAGGTCCTATAGGATTCTATAGAATCCCTTTCAAATTGGAAGATTGAACTATTATACCAAGCTTAATATATGTACGATTTAATTTATTCTGTTCCCAGATTTCAGAATGTGCCCAGAATACGAATGAAAAACAGACTGTAAATTTTTTTTTTATTCCGATTTATTTTTATGGAAATGCGTGCCTCTCTATTCGATTATACGCATTGCTTCTGCTGGAGTTTACGTTTAATTCAGTTTTTGTGTGGTATATATGTAGCTATGCATACACGAACAACATTTCGTTTTTGTTTTTGATTCTTTTTTGTATTTTTTTTTCGTATTTTGTATTTTGGCTTTAAACTAACCTAATACGGAAATTAAGATGGATTCACATGCAGTCGGGGTGAAAAATCACTTTTTAATTGCGTTCGCCTGAACTGGCGGTGCTTTCGACTGGTTATGCAGTGCATTTTGTTTGACTTTTGATCCTGGCATTAATGCCGACAACTGTGGGAAATCTGCGCAATTAATTCGTTCTGATGATTCATATTGGGGTGTCTGTGTGATGCTCGTGATTAAATATATTGCGCTTAATTGCGATAATTAGTGTGAATCATTGATGTGTGCCCTACATATATAATACAGTCACAGACAAGCCAAGGAAGATTTCGGTTTGCGGTTCGGTTTGCTGCTTTGCGTTGCGTGGCGTCGCGCATACGCCCCGTGGTACAGCAACATCAATAAGTATCCGCACTGTGCATAAATTATGCATGGCCACAACACCAATAAGTATAGCTGCAAACAATTATGGGCTAAATACTAGTACATTTATTAATATTATTTATTCATACGCCTATCAATGCATCCTATGGAAGTAATTTACGAGTACACACTAATTATTCACGAGGGTCGCCACGAGAGTATGTATTCCCTTTTGTTCGAACTGAGGGCGAGTAGGGGCAACGAAAAGCTTACTCTATAGTTGCAGAAAAAATTTCAAATATATATATGTACATTTTAAGATAGTTATTGAATATTAAAATGCCTTCCACAATGCTATTTCCTTTACTTGTATATCAGTTAAATCTATATTTTTCTCTTAAATACTAAACTTTTTTTTAATAACTGGGTGTTATGCAAATAAAACAAGTTAAAATACAAAATAGGTGAGGTGCAAATATTCTTTGCTCTTTAAATATTTATGTGTTTTAAAATCCTGATAAAAATCAAAATAATTAAAAAAAACTCTAAACCATCTAATTTATAATTCGAATTTAAATTGAGGAGAGATTTCAAGGGATCGTTGCAGGTTTTCAGTGCCCAATTACTCGCTCTCGTCCCCGAAAACCCAGCGAACCGAACCGCTAACCATAATCCCTTACTTTGATTTGCCATCCAAACCATTTTACTGGAGCAGTTCGCTGACCGTAAAACTCGTTGCCGTGGCCGCGATGACCGCAGGACTCGAGTGATTCGAGGCGGAGTCCTTGGACTCCTCCGGGCCGCGGCTCCAGAAGTGCTCCCCTCCCGCCAAGGTGGCGGTGGTGCGATTGGCCTTCTCCCTCTCCATGGGCGGCTCTTCGCGCCGCTGCCTGACCGCCTGCGCCTGCGGTCACGAGGACATGTAGGTGCACTGCGTCTTGGGCTGCGGCTCCGTCTGCTCGATCGGCTGGATGGCCGCCCGCTTCCAGTAGTCCCGCACCGTTTCCACCGTCTCCATGATGCGCAGGAAGTTCCTGCCCGCCAGCATGGCCACATCCTCCTCGCTCCAGTTGTGATCCTCCAGCAAAGCAGCGAGGAGTTCCGGATACTTGGATACATCCTCCAGTCCCAGCGGCGGCAGCTCGATGCCATCGTATCCGGCGCCCAGGCCAATGTGCTGGATGCCCGCGATGGCCCGCACATACTTGATGTGCTCGATGACATCTTGGAGGCGAGCCTGCCTTCCACACGCCACATCCTCGGAATCGAAGCTCAGCATGATCAGGCCGCCGTTTTCGGCCACCAGGCGCAGTATGTCGTCCGGCACATTCCGCGTGGAGTTGCAGAGCTGCCGGGCGGCGGAATGGGAGAAGATGACCGGCGCCCGGGTCACCTGCAGGACATCCCGGGCGGTGGCGTCCGAGCTGTGCGACAGATCGATCATCATGCCCAGCCGGTTCATCTCCCGCACAATGGCCTTGCCAAAGGGCGTGAGTCCCTGCTCCGCCGGCGATGCACTCGATCCTGCCCACGAGACGTCGCAGCGATGGGTCAAGCTGAGATAGCGAGCGCCCAGGGAGTAAAAGGATCGCAGGACCCCCAGCGAGGAGCCAATGGTGTGGCCCCCCTCCACGCCAATCAGCGAGGCCAGCAGCCCACGGCGATGGGCCTCCACAATGTCCTGCGAGGAAGTGGCCAACACCGTTTCCCGGGCATACATGTCCGACAGGCGCCGCACTATGTCGATCTGCTCCAGAGCCAACTGGACGGCGTCCAAGCCTTGAGCCTCGCACGGCACATATGCCGACCTGCAAGAGGACAAGGAAAGTGTAAAGGTTAGGGGACAGTGCCAATAAATGATATACGTTGTTCTAAAATGCCTTGAAATATTCTATTATAAATCCTATTTTAATAGTTTAAAAATTAAGCTCCTCTTCTCTTTACATAAACTATAATAATAATCGAAATAATTTTATGATTCCTAACAAGTACCCCCTAAAACCCTGCTAACGACCCACGTTTGCCGTTTAATTGGAAAATGCAAAAATGTAAATTGAAAGTGCCAAAGTGGTTAGTTGAACTTTGCATTTCTGTTGCCATTTGATAGGGCAATAAGCGAGCCGGGGGGCATCCAAAACTTCGCAGAGGGTAGAAACCAGAAGCCCCGCTGGTTTGGGCCAAACTCCAAAACGAAAGTTCAACAAGGCCGTCCTGCGAATTGAAATGCGAAATTGGCGAAAAGTTACGCTTGCGCCATCTGGCGGTCACTTTGGATGGGCGGAGTAGCTTCCAACCGAAATGAAGTCAAGTCGATTGCCCATCAGCGTTTTTCCCAAACTGCAGATGTCTGCCGCCTGTCAGATTGTGCTCCTCCCCTAAGTCCCCTAACCAAATTCGAATATTTGGGCTTGGAATGGTGGGTGTAGCTTACACAGAAAAATAACAAATAAATATACAACCTTTTACAAATTTCGTTGCATACCCAAAAGGCAAATCAACACTTTTTTCAGGTAGAGTGAAATATTTAGTTATTAAAATATCCAACAAATATTTTAAAAATTATATTAAAATTCTAATAGGTTCTTTCAAAAACTTTCTTATAGAATAAATAAAGATATATAGAAAATATACGGTTTTTAGGTTTGTTCTCCAAAATTTAGAATATAATATTTCTGTTTTGCTATCCTATATCCTATCCTTTGGTTTAATTAAAAATCATGTTGGAAAGTGTAATAAATGATTTAAAATCAGATACGCCAGGAGTATTTTTATATTCCTATAGCTCATAAAATAATGCCTAGTGGACCAATCTTAGTAGGGTTTTCTTTCAATGTAAGTTCTGTGTAGGGAAAGGCTGAGGAGGACCCAACAGCAGACAGGTTGGCTGCTTGCCCTGGGGCATCCAGCCGGTTGCCAAATTTTATTTTGCAGTCAAATTGTTGGCAGCTTTTTATTGCCGCGCGGGGGAAACTGTGGGCAGGTCACGAGTGGGCGGCTGTTTCTGTTCGGATGCCTTCGAGTGGGCGTGGCAGCTGGCTGTATGTTACCATGTTTTGGCCAGCACTCGAATGCATGGTTCTGTGGAGGGGTCAGATCTCTGTGACCCGGGTGGATGTCGCAACGGCCTGATTGCAGTTTTATGTGACTTTCCAATTTTCATGACTTGGCCGCTGGTGGGCGAATTTTCATTGCGTATACGCCCCATTGAATGTTGTAATTTCATTTAAGTATCAATATGGGCTCAATTGGATTTAAATCATGACAATGATTGCAAAATGATTATAGGTATCTTTAGCCTAATTGATATGTTGTGCAATAATGATTGGATGTAAGCAGACAATATAGCAGAAATAACAACATTTACTGGAGTATGAAAAATACATAAGAATCTAAAATCAAATCGATTTTTTATAAGATCTTGAATGTAGATCAAAGTGGGTAAATCTACTCCTGCTAAAAGTAGATTTAGAAATCTCCAAAAATAAGTAGATATTTTTTCCTAGTTAAAATACTACTGATATTTCCCCTTCCTCTTCAATGCACTATTCAAAATAAATACATTTTAACTATCAGAAGTTTTTACTAAAGGTTGCAAGTAAAAATAAAAATTGTAAAGGATCTTCTCGAGCTCAAACCTATATTATATTAAAAACATGTAGTAAAAATTTTGCCTCCGTAGCTCATCTTAGTTTTTTTTATAGACAGCTTTAAATAAAAAGATATATAAATTCTAGGACTTTTCAGTACTCACCACACTTGGACGCTGACCAATCCCTGCTTGAGTCGCTCCATGTCCGTTTGCGCCCACGACGGCCGCGCCCACAGGGACTTGTGGTCGACGTCGTGGCTGAGGTGGAGCTCCAGGCTGCTGTGGGCGTACTTGCGGACGTTCCAGGCGTAATTGTTGTGCCCGTCGACCAGCGGCACCTCGCGCAGGATTCGGCGGACGATTCTCAGTCTTTGGGCGTGCGAATTGCGGCTGGGCGCCATGAGGAAGTGCTGGTAGGCCAGGGTGGCGGCGATGGCCAGCAGGCAGATGGCACTGACCAGGGTGAGGGCCACCAGCCAGGAGCCCCTCCTCCCCTTCTGTCCGCCATCGGCTCCGTCGTTCGCCTTCCTCGACGACGCCTTGCCCTTCGCCTTGCCCGCGGCCCCGCCTCCCCGTCGCCGAGCTGAGCGATGTGGGCGACTTCGCGTCCAGACCCACTATATCGCCACCCACCACCACGCCCCCGGCCAAGGGATTGCCAAAGTTCACCTTGGACTTCTGGATGCTGGCTATCTCGCCGCCGGAATCGCTGTTCGAGATCGAGTTCTGGCGGGACAGTGTGCGGCGGATGTTCGAGTGCTCGGTGACGTCGGGCAATCCACCAAAACCAGTCGTCTGAAATGGGCAGAAATTAGAAAAATATTTGTTATAAAACTTAATATACATTTTTAGGTTAAATTATTAAGTTCCAGAATATAAAGTATATTTATTGTTAAAAAAATATTATTTTGATATATTATTATTATGGTTTTGTTATATGTAGGTATCTAAAGATACATACTTCAAGTATTCGACTTTTTTTTAATTTTAAGAATATATTTTGTTGCTTCTAAATTAATTTTTTTTACAATGCCTATTTATAATGAATGTAATATTAAAAGAAATATTCTTAGGTTATATGTATACTTCAAAGAATCGTATTTTTATTAATTTTAAGAGTATATTTCGTTACTTATGAAAATATTTTCATTACAATGCCTATCTACTAATGAATTAAATAATGAAAGAAATATACGTTTTTTCAGTTAGCGGTTCCCTTTAGCGATTCAGTGCGCCTTGCAGCCGTTTCCCATATCCAGAAAACACAATGCCCAACTTCGTTCGGGGTGGTGAGGCGTTGACTGCAGGGTGATACAACCGTTCGTCGAAAAGTTGCTTCATTAAAAGTGCGTCAAAGTTTCTTCGTTGATTTTGTGCCCTAATTAAAACTGCAGCCGAAGAAGCGAACTTCGAGCGCTCTGCTATATTCATAACTTGCATGAAACATCAACACGATGCGCAGGGAAACTTTTTAATGAACCGAATAACCATATCAGAATCAATATAATGGCCCGGCCACGTTCCATCCACCCGTTCACCTCGATATCCCGCACCTTGTTGCCATTCCGAGTGACGGAATCATGGCTGCCGGGGCTAATCTTGGCCCGACATAATTAAGCCCCAGTCATAATTCATGGACTTGGGCCCACATGTGTCCCCAGGTCCAAAAAGCTAACTTCTTCTTCGACCCATCTCGATCCCAAAGGGGGCGTGGCTATACGCCCACCCGGCAAGAGGACAAAAACGGGAAACTTTGTCGTGTGAAAGTTGTGACATAAAGTTTGCCAGGGGCAGGCAATGATTTGTTTATATTGCGACTGCCTGAGGAATTATGCCAAAACTGTGCAAAGTACAAATCAAATCTAAATGCGCACATTGTTGAGCACAAGCCAGGGAATTGCGAGATGGAGACATTGTGTAGCACAAAATTAGATTGAAAGCAAACTTGGAACATTGTCCTGAGATAAAACAAACTACTTTGTGGATGATTTATTCAATAAATAGAGCATACATGAAAGTCAGTTTCTGCCTGATATATTCTACTTATTGGGTAATTAGAAAAACTAAAATATTAATTTCCTGTTCCTTAAAGCTCTCTTAAGGCACTTGAAATTGAGTAGTAAAACTTATTAAACATTAATGCTACCAGCAGGTCAAAAAGTCACATTAATAAATAATTCATGATTTAACACCAAACATTGAAGTTTAAAATGCACATCACTTCCTGTTTGATTAGGCTTATAAAATATTTTAATTAATACTGTACATTTCTTAGTGAGCAACATTTTAACGATGAGTTTCTATTTCAGCTTGAAAGACTTTTAATTATATTCTTTCAATAACGTAAAGTTGTTTTTTTTTTAAACAAAAAACTTGCCAGTTGTGCATTTTTGTGAAAGACAGTGTGTTGCAGAGTTTGCACCATGTTTTTCTGAAAGCTTTGACTCACCCAGACTGCGGCTAATTAGTTGGAAAATCGGCACCACACGGCGTATGAGCAACGAGCGTGATGAAAAGCACAGCTCTGTTTTTGCTGGCTTTTAATGCACGGAAATAATTAAAATAAATTAACTTAAAAAAATGCAGCCACGAAAGGGACGACGATGTGGGCTTTGACCACTCGCTACATTTTCAACTATTTTTAATTATGAATTTCAAACATCATAAAGCAGGCAGCGGCGAAATTAACTTTCATAAAAAGCAGCAAAAGTTTTGCGCGGCTCCGTGAAAGTAATAAAACGATAACAAGATGGCGGAGGAGCGAACTTTTGGCAGCGAAAGAAATATTCATCTCAATTTATTCAATTTTTAATAAAAATGCAAATATTTTACGTGCTTCCGCTATCGCTATCGCACTGGCACCCTCGCACTTGCATCCTATACATTGCATAGCATAATTCTTTCCCCTAGATTTCGTGTTTAAAAAATCACGCTAAAAGTTAGGGAGCCACCGTTCGCTCGCTGCCTAAAAGGCGCTTCATTGTACAGGGCACTGCACTTTTCCGCTCGCTGGAAGGACGAGGCGGGGCTTTTCCGGGACAGCTTGGTGTGACGCGAAAAGTTTGTTTGCCAACGGAGGTCGCATCATCGTCATCGCGTTGGCGGCGTTGCGGGAGCTAAAGCTGTAATCCGGGCACCAGATTTGGCCACATTTTCCACAGACTTTGCTCGCATTTTGGCAGGCGTCAGGGCCGCCCGAAAAATGCATGACCATGAGGGCCCACAGCCACCGGATCTGTCCCACAGGTTTGCTGTAGTTCCGCCAAGTTTATAATTAGTTTAGTCCGGGCCATGCCCTCCATTGACATGCCAGCCAGAACCAAAAACAATCGCATTTATGGGGGCAACTATAGTTGGCAGTTGATGGGGCCACTAATTGCCACCTAAAACTTCACAGCTAAACAAGCATAAATTTTGCAATCTTCCTAAGTTATAAGGAATAAGTTAAGTAAAGTGAAGTAAACAAGTGACGGTTTATCACAATGTTATAAAAATATTATTATACATTTTTTAATGTTTTAAGATCGTATTTGTCTCATAAAAGGAAGGCTATTAATAATTTTAAAGTTTTTATAGATCTTAATAAAAAGCTGAATATAATGCCAGTGTAAATGAGAATCATATAGAGAGTAAAAGCAATGCCCATAATATATCATCCCTTGAATTCTGTATAGAAATATTTAATAATTTGCACATTTTTGTATATATACATCAGCACTATTATTATCTATTTTGGAGGAGATGCTATAAAACTCACTTAGCACTCTATTTCCACCCACATAAGGATGGGTCTCGCCTTAGAAGTGAGTGCGATAGAAACGGATGGTGATGGCGTTTTGTGCGTCTGGCGGACTTTGTACAAATTGGCTCCATTGTTGTTGCCTGTTGCCTGATCCCAGACCCGGGGCAGAAATTCGTCCAATTGAGTTTTAAATAAAAATGAGCAGACGATGCGGCAACAACAATGGCAGCGGCAGCAGCAACTCCGGAACAGCAGCAACCTGCAGCACGTCAGCAACAGCAGCAGCAGCAACATCAGCAGCAGCAACATCAGAGTCATTCAGCTCGCACAAAAGGCGAAAGGAGGCGGCAACAGGACCAACGTCAACAAGGACAATAACAATGAAAACGGCAACGGCAAAAAATAGAAACGGGAGCAAGAAAAAACTGTTACGGAATGCTTTATAGTTTCCGCCATTATTTTCCCTTTTGCAGCTGCAGTTTTTAGTAGAACCTCTACCAAGCGATATATAGTTTTTTTCCCCCGTCGTAGTAGCAACACCCTGGCAACGAGAATTTAGTCCGAGACTAAAAACAACTAAAATCTGTGCCGCATGTGCAACAGCCAAAGGGGTTTAGGCACTGGGCGGTGGACAGGAAGCGCTCTTTGCTGTATGCTGAAAAGTATTTGTCATGCTGTATCTCATCCCCGCCATGTGCGCACATATATCATGTTATACGCGGCACTCGTGGGAAACAAAGCAAATCCATTCCATAAATAATCCCCCAGTGGTTCCATAGAGAATTCGGGGAAGCGAAATGTGGATGTGCACTAGGTGCTAGTGCCAAAATGTTCTCACATTCTGCGAAAAGTAAGAACCAAAGGTAAATTGGTTGTCTCACTTAAGCTCTTCCCCACGACTAGTTTGTTATGGCCAAAATCTTTTGATCTTTAATACTGATATTTTACTAAACGGTTAAAGCAATTTTTATACAATGCGAGTTTAAGAATATCTTCTAATTAATTGTCTAAATTCTTCAGTATTTACTTTTTTATTTAAGTTTATTTTTGTTAAAAAATCTTAATGGCTATTTTATTCTCTTGTTTCTGTCATGTTAGTAATTTGGGAAATTTCTTGCATCTGGCACAGGACAACTTTCGTTGAGGGGTAATAACTTTCGCAGACAATGCCATAAACTTCACCATATTAATTTATCGAGTGGCTCTTCGCCTTGATTATGATTGATTCGACCATGAAGGAAAAGTAATGTACAAAGAATTTGCGGTCAGCTTTCGCAATTCGCCCCCATTGTACGACGGATGCGATGGAGTTGTCCCCCGTTTCGAGTCCGGAACCCAAGGACCCCGGAGAGTGCGCAGCAGGCATGTCGACAGCCCGGAGTTGTCGACTGCGGTCCTTGCCAGCTGCCGTTCCTGCTGCTGTTTTTAGTTTTTCAAATGTCATTTGGCCATTTCACGCTGATGGACATCAGTCTCTGGCCCCCGCCCCTCGTTCTTCTGGCCCACAAATTGCCTTGTGGCTGCCACGTAATTTCTGCCTTCCGTACTGAGGTTGCTCCGGCAACAGCCACATTCAAATGTTGCAATCGTGGAAGGCAAAACCAAAACCGAACCCAAACACAGTCCGAAATTACACAGGAAAAAATTGATGGATAATAAAAATGTAATGCAAATATTATGGATTTTAATTTGTATTTAATGGTGCATATAAAATTAAAATTTGATGACGACTAAAAGATTTGTCATAAGTTAAAAAAAAAAGAATACCTTAAAAATACATAATAAAATATTAAAAAAAATACAAATCAATTTTAAAATTTTGTTTTAATATAAATATAATTAATTTTTTTTTGAAAAACCAAATGAATTAATTTCTTTTTGTGCAGGCCCAGGAGATTGGTCCGAAGGACACCAGACTGTTGGCCGTTGGCGTTAGCCACAATGGCTGTGTTAGAGCTTCGCATTTTGTTTGTTTATTTTGCCGTCCCATTGCGACTTATGTGGGCGATGACCGGCGAATGTCCGCACCCTCATCGCCCTGCCGCCCATTTTT